TTCTAAATAATTAATAACATTTGCTATTCACTTAACCTGTCTCATGAAATAAAACCAATTATAATTGCCTCATAAATGAAAAGGTTGATGGTATTAGCCATAGAGTTCAGGTTGTCGCTCTAGGTGGAGGTTTCTCAGACAAGTAATTGGATGACCTCTTCCTGTAACAACAAATGAGCAAGCTAATTACACACACACGTGGACTGCCTTCAAAAGATAGACAATAAATGATTCAGTATAGTGTCTAAGAAAAACAATAGCTTGTAGTGTGGACCTTATCTATGTAGTGTTACGAGTTACTATTCCTACAGTCCAGAAAGTAATGTTTAAACTTGAGAAAGATTTGGACAACAGACGAGTATAAGACAGGGTGAAAATGTCTACAAACCAAACAGGTCTCTTATGGTCAGAGCTCCTTTGCGTGTCCACCTTCTGCTAGAGGAAAGAGAAGAAGGGGTCATCAGTGTGCTTTAAAGATGGAGAATCATTTGAGCAGTACTTCTTTCATTCGCTGTCGGAATGTTGCTATGCCTGTTTTGAAAAATTCTTTCTAGTTGTGCATGTGACTTTGCAAGCTTTCCTTTTTGTTAGTGGTGCTGAGCTTGTATACAGATAGGCTGCTGACATCCTTGTGAGTATTTGAGTGGTAGCTCGTGAGTGTGACTCCAAGAGTCAGACATGAAAAGTTGTGATTTTGCTGTGGGTGCTGAAAAGATGAATGCATGCTGTTTGCTTGGGCATTTAAAGAACTATTTGTTTGTTTGTTTGTTTTTTTAACCAGAAGAGACTGCCAGGCTGTCGTTTATATTGGTAATGATTTGTCAGCAGTCTTCTGGAAACAATTTGTCTAAAATGTTCTGCAGTGATGATGATGAGTGATGTGATGCTTTTTTTTCTTTTTTCTTTTTTTTTTTTTAAAGCCTTATGTGATGGTGTATTAGCACAGTAAGAAGGCCACTAGCTAGATGCTAAATCGAACATCTCTGACAGATGTAGTGAGGGCAATATACAGAGCATAGAGCCACACGGAATCAAATGTGCGATTTCTGCTGTCCCCACCCCTGGCTGAGCCACTGGAGGTTGGCTGCTGAGGGAGTAGGAAAAAAAAAGGGGAGTAGAATAAGTGAGAAACATTTGCTGTTCTTCTGTATTGCACACATACGTAGTGCTGGGGCCTGCATAGTTTTTCTGCCTTGTGTTCACCCCTCTGCTCAAGTTGTAAGAGCTACTGACTGCTCCCTTTCAAGCATGTTGGTGTCTGCCTGATTCTTGGGCTCTCTACAGCAGTTGTGGCTAGTCATAGAGCTGGGAGGATGTAGCAGTGCTGGTGGCATGACAGGATTCAGCTCTCTGGAGCCTGGCAATTAACACGTGCTTGTCATCTGGCAAACAGGAGGAGAGGAGGGTGTTCCTAGGTGTCAGTTGCAGCAACTGCAGTGAGCTCATTCCAGCTGTAGGCAAGGCTTGATGCAATTTCCCTGTGATACGGAAGAATGGAGGTGTTGCAGGTCATTGGTATGCACTGATAGCACCTGAGACTTGAGGACTGCCAAGGCTAAAGCTGAAAGGGATGTATCAGGTGGAAGGCAGGGAGGGAGTCCATGTTGTGAACAAAGCCAGGTTGTCTATGATTGTAAACCCTTCTAGTAAAAAACACCTGAAAAAGTCATTGCTGGTGTATGGATCCTTACACTTCATGCTATGATTATAGCTCTGCTCGGTTTAAATGTGAGACATAGTGGTCAGATAAATAAAACATAATACTGTTTTGTGTTTTTTTTATAAATTGTGTGGAATAGCAGAAGCACTTGACAGTACCACCCTCTAGTACATCATATATCCTTCTAGTAGTGTGAGGTAGAGCTTTGTCTGGCTGTTATCGCTCACCTTTCCCTTTCTGCTCCCCCTATCTAGGTATGGTTACTCTAGATGTGTACCATTTGGGATTGGACTTTTGCACAGTATAAGGTTACTCGTGCTTGGCTGCCTTCAGGATTAGGGCTGTCATGTGTTAGTCAGATGCTAATCCCACAAATTTTTAACACAAGCATTACATCTTCACTGATAAAAAAAGCTCACTCGAACAAGGACTTGCAGGTTTGATTTTGTTTTGTTGCAGTCAGCAACCTGATGGAAATAATGGGTGAAAAATCTGCAAGCAGCATAGCCATGTGATTGTTGTATGCATCAGTCACTGGCTGTTCAAGGACCAATCAAACAATGATTTTTTTCTTTTTTTTTGCTTATTGCATTTTTGTATGGACTTAGCAGACTTCTTTTTTTTGTATTACTTATGAAGAAATTGGTCAGTGGTTATTGGAATTCCTGCGACTTCATTCTGATGGCATCATCTGTCTGCACTGAAAAGAAACAAAAACTGACTTACAGTGCAAAATGGAACAGTTCCTGAAGGACAGTGATAAGGCATAATTGTATGATTACGAGAGTATAAATGTTAAGTTTCTTTAATGTATAAGAATGTGTGAACTATATCCTAAATATCTGCGTGTCATTCATCAAAACAGCTATTTCATTATATGAGAGAAATATTATATGAGAGAAATATATTGCAATATATTGCAGCAAATTTGGTAAGCTGGATTTTGCTGGTGTTTGAGTTTTCTGTAGGATCTTCTGAGTTGTGTGCGTTTGTTCCTTAAACCGTATTTCAGAGATATTTCTACAACCCGATTGCTGGGAAGAGACTGGGCAACTCTTCCTTATCTCTCACCACCTTTCTTGAAAACCTAGCTCTACCTTATGCTGTTGTTCCTGTTGTTTGGAGCTGGGGTTGTGCCTGTCATTCCCTATCTCCAGGAAATGATGAAGAAGGAGATGGGATGGGAAGCTTTGCTTACATTGATATTGCTGCCCAAGTCAGCAGGTTTGTTCTAGCTCTTTGACCTCAGCTAAGCATCCCTTTTTTTTTTCTGGCTGCAGCACCCTCCTAGAACTAGTGGCAGAGTTGGTGGGTAGGACCACCCGTATGTCAAAAAGAAACAAGCCTATTTTTAAAGATTATGGAGACTTGACAGTGTATCTGCTCCTCAGAGAAGGTTACGTTGGGCCGGTCTGCAAGGTCCTGTAGATACTGCCTCATGCCTTTTGTATGTTTGGTACTGTCAGTACCAAATGTGAAGCACCAAAACAAGAATAATGATTGACATAAATGCTTGTGCAAGTGAGCAGCAAACCCAGATTAATTCAGCATAGTGTCTGGCTTGGTCTATGGTTGAAAGTTACGTATGTACCCATGTGTGTTTTCTTTCTGAGTCAGAGCTGTACTTTTTCTGTAGCAGTTGAGTGGAGAGGATATGTAAAGGGGGAAAAAAAAATGGCAAGGTATTGGGGGTATTGGAAGTTTAAAGGAATATTTTCATCTCCTTCAGTCTGTTGAGTATCTAGGAAAGGTGGTAGTGTACTGATCAGAGGTATCCTGTCACTATATACAAGTAATACACAGGAGAGATGAAAGACCTGCAACTAAATAGGCGTCAGTAAGAACTGAAGGTAGCTTGACTAATGAACATTGAGAGATTTTACATTAGTATTTTCTGTTTGTATTCTGTAACAATACACAACTTTCCAGCATTATCTGGGAATGATTGATAGCATGTGTAGGCTTGTTTCTCATGTATTTCAGAACTCTTGGATTAAAAGGCGGTGAGCATTAACGTATCAGGAAGGAAGAGGTGGTATTTTCATGTGGCCTGTAAAGATCTGTGCGTAAGACTTCTTTCTCTACACCAGTGGAATACATAAAATGGGGGAATACAAGATCACTGATACGTGGGTAATTTCCAGATGTCATTTGCAGTTCTAATTTAAAAAGTCTGCTAAGAAGAGAAAATGGGTAGTGCTTTTATGTCTTTATAATGCATTCAGCTAAACTGGAAGAGGAACAGCTAGGGAGAAATCTTCTGTACCCGTCAGGACCGTACAGAATGGGGAACTCACAAAACTGTGACAGTAAAAGAGGAAAACAGCTAGCTGAAATTGAGAAGAGCATTTTAACAGCATTGTTTCTGAATGGCTTCTGGTGCATGCAGTTTATTTCAGCCATTAAAAATAAATGATTTCTGGTGATTTCTGCCCCAGTGAATACTTGCGGGGGAAACAACCAAGTCTTTGAAAGTTATCTCATCTGTTCTTAAGAACAGGAGTTTGCTGAGGACTTAAACATGAGAATTAATAATCCAGATCTCCGCGGGGAAGATGAAAATTCTTTTTGAAGATGAAAAAGGAAAAATCCTTGGCATTTTTTTAAGAATAAATAAGCATTTTGTGAGAATGAGGATTTTGTTGGGGCTAGTTTTCTGTGCAATTTCTTAATAAAATACCATCTGAAAATTGTAAAAATAAAGTTAAAAATTACTGAATTTTCTTGGTATGCAACTGTTGATGGCCCCGCAGCAGCAAAGACTTTTCAGTGCTACTGCAGAATAACAGTATGGCTTTGTATTTCAGCAGTGTCCTTGTAACGGAAAAACAGTTTGACTGTAAAGCATTTTGATCCTTTCTGTGCTAAGGAATCAGACCATTAAATAGCATAATTGTCTTTGCTGGAAGTCTGCTTTTTTCCTAGCTGACATCTGAATGTTGAACTCTTACAGGTTATATTGTCCAGGTTGTTGTTTTTTTCTACTGCTGTTTATTTGTTTGTTCTTTCCTCTAGGGCTCCTAAAGTATATGGAACAGAAAAGAGCTGAACTTGTAAACAGCTTCATGAAACAGCTACCTTATGCTTTGCTTCAATTTGTCTGCCTTTACCCTGGGGTTGATGTATGTTTAAAATTGAAGTCATGTTGAAACTGAAGATATTTTTCCCTGTTGAGTCACTCTTCCTCATTATAACTCAAGAAAACAGATACAGTAATTAGTACATAAGTCTGCCTTTTGCTGAGGAGGGTGAATTGAGGGGTTGGGGCATGTGAAGCCTCTTTATTTGGGGATTCAGATGATTCATCACTGTGTATTTATGAGAATTTCCTTTTCCGTAGGTCTCCTTGTGGGTACTCTTGATGTTGTGTTGGACTCCAGTGCCAGAGTGGCACCATATCGAATCCTCTATCAAGCACCAGACTCCTTGGTCTATTGGACTATTGCCTGTGGTAAGGACAAGTATAATGATGTGTAGATTTTTTCTTCCTGGGTACTTTGCTACATAACTAAGAGAGCATGCTGCCAACTGAGTAAAGATGGAACTGGCCAGGCCAGGAATGGGAAGAGAGGCATATGTTACTTACTGCTTTTCATCTCTCAAACTGATTACCAGGCAGGCAGTCTAAGGTTCCTCAACCTTTATGTTCTTCTCTGTGCCCATGGCTTACTCCTTTAGCACTTTGAAAGTGCAGCATTCCTGACTGATGAGAGCATTTGAAACATGGGAGAAGTAATATGCTATGGCCCTGTGCTGTGGCCCCCAAAATTACCCAGACTGGGCACCTGGCTTCCCTTGAAGTGGAAATTGGGAAGATAGTACAGTCCCAGCTCTGAATCTGAACTCCAACTGAAATTGCTAACCAAGTAGTTAATGCATATACCTGTTCCCAGTTTTTTTTGAAACTCTTTCTTGAATTTTAACAATATAATATCAGGCTGCGTGATTGGCTTGGTTATTTTTCATTTTAAAAGTTCTACATTGTATAGCTGTCTCTCTTGTTTCCCCATAGGTAGAATACTGTTTACTTGGTGCTTGTAGTCTCTTACTTTTGCAGATTTGTCTTATCCTTCCATGCCTTCCATAAAGCAGTAACCTTTATCTCCTGTGATTAGCTATGCAGAATGATGGGAACGAATGTGATTGCTTCCTGTTTCATAAATGCTGTATGACATTTGACCTTCTGTACGAGGCTCCTCTGGGGGAAAAAATAATTCTAGAGGTTTTGTTTGCTCTGAAATGACTACTTAAGTTATGTATAGACGCAAGGACTGTTTATAATTCTTTTTTTGATGTGGATATGAATTTGCTTTGGGATTAGCTGTATGGATCTTGGCTGTATGAGAATGTTAACTGATTAGATTTGCAGCTTTATAGCTCCGTAAAGCAGATTTCTTAACAGCATTGTCACCAATGTGGTGTTGTGTTGAACATGTGCAGGTGAGGAGAAGGGCAGGAGAGTAGGAGGTCTGTTTTCCCAGGAGACTAGCAAGGGAATGAGATATATTGGCTTTTAAGCTGTGCTAGGGAAAGTTCAGGTTGGATGTTAGGAGAAGCTTTATCAGAAAGAGTAGTGAGTGCCTGGAACAGGCTGCCCAGGGAGGAGGTGGAGTCACTGTCCCTGGAGGTGTTCAACAGGCATGTGCGTGTGGCACCGAGGGACGTGGTTAGTGGGCATGGTGCTGATGGGTTGATGGTTGGACTAGATGAAGTAGGTAAGTGAGCATGGGTAGTTGGAATTGTTACATGCCTTGGAAAAGGTTTTGAAAAAAGCCTGTGTGCTCTGGTTAACAAAGTGTTGCAAGTTTTAGAGTGCGTATGTGTATATGCACAGATTAAGGGCTTTGCTGTTCAATTTCAGAACCTGCCATTACTGGAAAGACCAATTGTAGACTCCCTGAGGTATTTCAGCTTTTCTTATAGTGCCTTATGTAAATGGCAGCAGTTCGAGTTGACTAACAGGCGTTACAGCTAAGTGTTTGGGTGATAAAACTGGCCATGACTTGTTAATTTCCTTTTCAGACCAGTACTCAGTCTTGTTGCCTCTATGCCTCCATATTTTCCTATAGACAAATGAAGCCAGCTGCTTGAAATCTAACCCTGATGCCCAGAGATGATCCTATGTTGTTTGTGCTGTTACTCTACCTCACCTGCAGGGCAGTTGCTCGTTCCCTTGCTCTCTCCATGCACCACGCATGCTTCCTGCAACTCCTGTCATCTGCAGATGCCTTACCATTCCAGCTTATGTTTAACACACTGATCAGTTTGCTCCCCAAAGATGAGGAACAGTGGCTCAGACTACCAGGGTGTTGTTCAATCATAATTTCAGCCATGGAGCGAGCTGTAAAGTGAGTATTCATTTAAAGGAGGGAGTGAAGTGATTAGTAGAATATAGTAATATTGTGGCTATTTTCCCTTTTAATCCCTACTGATCTTGAAGGGCTCTGTTCCAAAGTGCAGTGGTCAGCTTTGAGTAGGTTTGTTTGTTTTTCTTCCCTCAGATTTTGAGGTATCGATTCACCTGAAAGGCCAACAGTGGTAAAATTATGAATGCTTATAACATGCAGAGATAGTCAGAGACTTGGCAGTAGCAAAGTCAGTAGAACAGTAGTTTAAAACCTCACAGTGAATGTGTTACTTGAATCCTGAGTAAATAAAGCAAAGAAAAAAATCTTGACTGTGAGGAGAATTTGGCTTGAACTGCTCCACATCATGTCTGGATTTTGGCCTGCTTGCATGGTTTTCTGTAGATGACACTGTCTAGGAGAGTGAACTGTAAGATAACAGAGACCAAAACCAATGAAAACAGCGAGATGGGAGATTGCAGGTTGAGGATATTGACCATAACTACATTAATAGTAACCCATGGACCACAAACAGGGGATAGGCAGAGTCATGGTAGTGTCTGCATTGCTTGCCACAGCTCTTCAAGAGATGAGCCACTGTTCTGATGAGAGTCTAGTTTAAAATATGTTTTTCTTATATTTAGTCATTACTTCTTATAGCAATGCAAAAGCCAACAAGAAATAAATTGATCTTCAGAGTACCTTTTGAGTTCCAGAAAGATCTGGTTGCATCCAGCAGTTTTTAGGAGAAGCAGTGATAGCAATCACTTGTGGTTCTGAAATAGGTTTGCTTAAGCATGCAGACTATTGTGCAACACGATTTATGAATCCATATTGAAGCTGTACATTTGAATTTAGCATGGAAAACGCACAGGAACATTGCACTGTGTTGCTTTCACTGGAGTTGTGTAAAGCACTGATGGTGTTTTCTAGAAGTATTTTTTCATCATGTTTGGTGAATGATGAGGAAGACAACTGTTTGATACGTAACCAAGAAGGCCGCAATGATTTCTTGTACAAATGACTGAAATATTTATGTTAAAATGTCATAGCAAGCACCAGCATAGACAACTTGTGCCTGTAGGTAAGTTGCAAAATGTATAATTAGCAGCTTGTTGTATTGCATCCTCTTCCTAACGCTCGTTTCACATAAATGGCTGTATGTTCTTGTATCCTGTAGTCTTTAATTAGCAGGTAGATACACTTGCTTGTTCTGATTAAAATAAACTGAAGTGGTGTTTGAACAAAACTGAGATGCAGTATTGTCTCTGTTTCCTAGTTGGATTTACATCCTTTTAATTAATCTTCATAAAGATGTGAACAGGTAATGTTTCTTTTCTGAAAAATATTGAAAATCCCAATTTTTGACTCAATTGCCTTAATTTCTTTTGGGTGCAATTTTTTTTTTTTTTTTTGTGCTTAATTTTTTCTTTCCTTTGATATAGGCGTAAATTGATAGTGAAGAGCACCAACAGCTTCATTCTGTGAAGTGTTGAGAATAGAATGACAAAAATAAAATTGCATTTATTAAAACCCTGCCTTAAGAAGCAAAGATTTGCATGTTAATTCTAGCTTTATACCAGGAGCTGGTCCCAGTAGGTGCAGGTGATTTCTTGGCCAGCTCTTCAGCTGGCTAGCATGGTGTCATTTAATGCAGTTAAAGTTCAAAGTTTATAGTTTTGTTGCTCATCATACTGACATAAGCCCTTTATACATCTTGAAGAGGGCTACCTATTTCCTTATAAATTGCAGTCCTATGGGAGAGCAGTTTGGAATTTCCAAGGAGACAGCATGTGTTATATGGTGAAAGATCACATCTGTAGTTAATGGCAAGTTTTATTTGAGTCCTTTGTGATTAAGACAATGTAGACATTGGTTATTTTATGATTTTTTTTTTTAATTTTTTAATTGTTTTTTTATATGCAGGTTGCTCAAGGAAGGAAATCACTGAACACTGGGAATGGCTTGAACAGAATTTGTTGCAAACTCTATCAATCTTCGAAAATGAGAATGACATAAATACATTTGTCAGAGGAAAAATACAGGTGGTTATGTATATTATTGTAAATGCTGACAGAATGACTGAAAGGAAGACTGTTGTGAATTCTAAAGAAATATAGTGTAACGTTCCCAAGGCTGCTCCATCTTGGAAATTAGGCCAGATTATGAACAGCAACTTATATAAAAATGAAGAGAATTGTGATTAGCATACATGACTACAGCAGTGTGATTGAAAACATTACATGCATGTCTACAAACATTAAGGGGTCTGAAATTAAGTTTTGCTTTTGTCTTAAGCTGAGGTGGCTTTCTGTGTAACTTCTCTTTTCTTACTTACATGTTTTACATGTGCTTGTTGTATAAAGCTCCTTGCTCTTTTCTGTGTAGTTAAATCCCACAGCGTTGACACGCACTTTTTATAGAGACAGTGGAGGTTACTCGTTAGTTTGGTTTGGTTTTGGTTTTGCCAATACATCTTTCTCTCCTGAACGAGTAGAGAGTAGATACACTTCTTAAAATGCTTCATCTGTGCTTAAATAAGTAATCTGTTAGAATACTGATTGTAAGCAAAGTTATTATACTTAATTTTTGTGTATTCTAAGCACTGGCTTTGTCTCATTGCTTTTATCATTTCCTATAGTAAGTCATTGTCGTAGAAATTCCTTAGTTGTTAGGCTGAGTTTTACCAGAGGATCAGATAGGAAGGCTACAAGTGCTCATGGAAACAGACTATTCTAGCTGTCATCTGTTCTGTGAAATATTGTCCTTAAGGAAGTTGTTACTTTCTAGACTTTTAGAGTGCTTTGTAGACTTTTTAAAATATTGTATATTTGTCCAACAGATCACAGAATCACAGGATGGTTTAGGTTAGAATGAATGATGCTTTGCTGTTGTTTGCTGTACTTTCTGTTTAAACTGACAGTTTGAAGACACAAAGCATCTTTACTTTCTACAACATAAAAAGCAATAATAAAAAATCATGTGAGAGATTGGAAAACAAATAGAGCAAAACTTCAGCATAGAGAATCAACTGCTGTAGTCTTTGAGATATCAAATGCAATATTTTTCTTTTTCTCCTACTTTATTTTGCTTAAAATCCACTAAGAGATCATAGAAGTTGTCCTTTCTTCCTCTTTAGAAGAAAATTTTCTAGTGAGATTCTATTGGATTGTGCACAGTACTTATTTTTGTGGAAGGGAGGAAGTTTTCAAATCACAGGTGCCTTAAGTAGTAGTTTGTAGTGGTAGTAGTGTATTTGAGATGGGTTTGCAGGTTTAAAGTGGGACACGGGCAAAGCAGCTGAGTGGTTGATGTTTGGTTACTTTTGATACATTCATGGTAGGGAGCGAAGTAATCATCAAGACAGCCTTGAGTAAGGTAAAAAAAAACAACAAAGCCACAACAAAACTACGTAAGTAAAGGAATGAATAGAGTAGTAATGAACAAGTAAAATACTTCATTGCTTTCACAGTTAATGATTGTGGCCCTCACCATTGCATGCAGTGGTGATAAGGCTATCTGATAACCTGCAGCACTTAATATACTGTGAACTTCTTTCACTCCCTTCCAGGGTATCATTGCTGAGTACAACAAAATCAACGGCATCAAGGAGGATGATGATACCGAAAAGTTTAAGGAGGCCATAGTGAAGTTTCACAAGCTGTTTGGCATGCCAGAAGAAGAGAAATTAGTGAACTACTACTCTTGTAGTTACTGGAAGGGGAAAGTTCCTCGTCAGGGCTGGGTGTATCTCAGCATTAATCACCTTTGCTTTTATTCTTTCCTAATGGGACGGGAAGGTACGTTTTACAGTGAAATGGTGGTTTGTGTGTCTCAGAATTGTTAGTGAGTCTTCTGTGGTTTGTTACTATTTGCTGCTGATGTGTATGGGATGCAAAAGCAATGCTGAGTGAAGTAGAAACAAGAAGCAGTTCCCTGGTTGTCTATATTGCTGAACTGTGCACTTCTTACCTTATTTGGTTGCATGTTAGGAGAGGCTAACTAAATACTTGGACAATGACAGTATTAAATCTATCATGTTTGAATGCAGCGATTTATTATTATTTTTTTTAATCACAAAATCTTTTGTGATTCTTGTCTAGCTACTCAAGTACTTATTTGTTTTTAAGTAGGACGCTGTATTATGATTAAATTAAAGACGTTTCAAAATCCAGTGGTAAATACAGTTTATTTAACACAGTTTATTAAATTCCTTTAGTTGTTGAGGAGTAGTGGGAAGCCTGCCTAATGTGTTCAAAATAAGTTTCCTTGCTTTCCTTGAAAGAGAGAACATCAGGAGTCTGGTCAAGTGCTGTGACAGTGGGAATTATGTTAGCCCAGCTTTGCATGTGGGTGTTCAGTACAGAAAGAAATGATATTTAAACTCTTTTATCTACTGTTTGTCAGGTGATATAATTTGTTTATATTAGCTGTGTCATTTATGCTGCCCTTCTAACTTTTCAAGAAGCAAGAAAATTTCAAGTGAATACATTTTATAGTAACTGGAAGGTGAATGCTTTGGAATATACTAACTTTTTCGGACTGCGTTTTTGTTTGCTTCTGTTCAGCAAAGTTAGTTATCCGTTGGGTTGATATCACTCAACTTGAGAAGAATGCTACTCTGCTCTTCCCTGATATGATCAAAGTGAGCACCAGGTCCAGTGAACACTTCTTCTCAGTATTCCTTAATATCAGTGAGACATTTAAACTAATGGAACAGCTTGCCAATATAGCTATGCGACAACTTTTGGACAATGAAGGGTTTGAACAAGACAGATCATTGCCCAAACTGAAAAGGAAATCTCCCAAAAAAGTATCTGCACTGAAACGGTGCGTAGCACTGACCCTTACTCGTTTGTTTCTCCTCATTCTTTTTACTTACATCATTCTGTAGAGAAGCTTTCAGTTTTCTAATGATGCTGCTGTGTAATGTTATTCAAAAAGGAAAGGAATGATTGATTCTAGATGGTGGCAGAAGGTGTGGAGTTGTTTAGATATAATTAGTCGGTCTCCTGTTGAAATAGGAACAGGAAAATATACAAATATGCAGAATAGGAGAAATATTTGAGTCGTGTTCTCCTTGGTTCAGAAGCTCTTTTATGTATCACTTGACACAGGCTGCATTAGATAATCTGTTGTAAGACCTGGTCAAGAAAATACGTCTAACGTTCATACTTGGTCCTACAGCTGGAATTTAAAAACTATGTTGGGTGATGAATTCTGTCTGGAACTTCTTATGTTGTGTGGTGTACTAAAATGGTCAACATACAGAATTGTAATCAGTCTTTCCCTGTATTTCTCATTATTTTGTGACATCTGACATGTATTATATCTCTGAAATTTGCCTACTGTTTCTTTTGTTGTGTAGACCTGTAATATTTCAGTGTTCTGCACTAAATGTGTTAGCAAGACTAAATCTTGAAATTGTTAGAGTATAGCCCTGCAGACTCCATTGTATTAATAAATCAACCTCAGAGTAACAATTTTAGGATAGTGTTATGTGGTCTCTTATTTAATAATCATAGAATCATTTGAGTTGGAGAAGACCTTTAAGATCGCTGAGTCTGACTATTCTGCTGATGCTACACGTCCAATGCTGAACCATACCTCTAAGCACCACATCCCCACATCTCTTCAGTACCTCCAGGGGTGGTGACCTGTCTGGGCAGTCTGTTCCAGTGTCTAACCACCTTTTCTCTGAGGAAACTGTTCCTTGTACCTAATATCCAAACCACCCTTGTCACAATTTGCAGCTGTTGCCTCATGTCAGCTGGATTCACTCCATGCACAGGTAGAAAATAGGACCAAGTGCCGTAAGATCACCTAGTCTGTTTCTTTTGAGAAGTCAGGGTTGTTGTTTCTAACTCATTTGGAGTAGGTTTCTTCTTCTTATGTAGTCTTAGAATCTCCCAGCAAGGGAGATTATACACCCCTTACAAGCGTACTATTATGCTATTTGCTGTATGCCCAGTATTAGTAACCGAGTTGTATGTTGTAGGTAATATGCAGCAGCTTACGTAAAATATAATTAAAAAGTATTATCTATTTCTTAGAACAAGAGACAATTTTTTATGGTGTGTTTTTTTGGTTTGTTTTAGGGATCTTGATGCCAGAGCAAAGAGTGAGAGATACCGTGCATTGTTCCGACTTCCCAAGGATGAGAAACTAGATGGGCACACAGACTGTACTCTGTGGACTCCCTTCAACAAAATGCATATTTTGGGTCAGATGTTTGTTTCTACAAACTACATCTGCTTTACTAGTAAGGAAGAGAACTTGTGCAGCCTTATTATCCCTCTTCGAGAGGTAATTACTTGAAGATTAGTGGGGCAAAAAAATCAAGTAATACTGTTTTGGAAATTGCATCATAGATTTATTTTTTTTTTTCCCCACTGTTGGAGAAAATCTCATCTGATTAATTTCCTGTGAGCATCTATTCCGATGTGTTCTGTGTGATACTTAATGACTGTATGTATCTTAGAACTAAGCTCCTATTACTAAAATTCCCTGGGAGGTTTCCCTGTCAGCTTTCATGACCTTCAAGAATCAATCCTCTTGCATAATTTGCTTTCTGTTTTATGTTTCTGTGGTATACTTGTGTCTCATAGAGTGGGTAAGAATTCTTAGGTAGGTGAGTAGGACTTCCTACTAACAAATCTATCAGGTAAAACCTGATTGCGTTAGATGTACAAAATATTTGTAATACTAATGAATTCAGTTATCTCTTAATATGGACAAATTTGAAATCATTTATTGCTGTACTTGGAAAGCATTTGTAAATGTTTAACAAATGAGCGTAACGCTCTTTTTAAAGAGAATTGCGTAGGTTTTCAGTAAAAATAATACAAGTTAGATGCAATGGGGAAAAAAAAAATCATACTGGGGAGGTTTTGTATAGTTGACTTGCTTTGTGGGTTGATGGAGAAATGTGTAGTCTTGAGAGTATTAGCAAAGCTTATCCAAGCAAGTTCAGTTAGCAGATCTGAGGAACCAAAACAAATCGTATTTGTTTGGAAACCTTGAAGTACCACTTCTACATGGTGTGTTGCAATGACCTTGGTTATTTGAGAAGAGGCACTTGATTATGGTTGCACTGTTTGTCTGGAATTCTGAGGGAGCAACAGTCCTCTGAGTAACCGGGTAGAAGAGGGAACAAAGTTTGCATTTGACAGGGCCCCTTTTTCTGTAAGTGTGTTTGGCAACTGATTTGATAACCGTAACCTCAGCAGCATGTGATTTGAAGCAGCCCGAAAGCTTAAATAGTTGAAGAAAGAAATGCTTTGGGTTTTTTTTGTTTGGCTTTTTTTTTTTTTGGTGATCATGTAAGGTCTCAGCACCAGCAAGGAGAACAGTAACATATGGTAGTGCCAACCATTGAGATGATAAATCAGTTTTGTTAGCAACTGAAAGGGAAGCTTTCTGTTTCATTAAAGCCTCTGACCCAGTGTTCTGTGATGCCCTGGAGTGGTTTTGACACAGAAGTCAGTGGCAAAGTATTGATTCAGAAATGGTGATTGGAAAAGGTTTTAAATAGCTGACTGTGCTACTCGCTGCCCCACTATGTGTAGTCTTCAAGATCAGCACTTGAGGCACCTGTGTCTACTTGAATGTACATAACATGGGTTTTCAGCTGTCACTGTAGCAGAGTTTACTTACCATGATGTTTGACCTGTGCTTCTATAAATTCATTTGATTTGCTGCTTATGCTCATGCAGTTCTTAAGAAGAGTGGAAATATAATGCAGGAGGAATTTCTAGCTTCTTTCGTGTTAATGAGGAGCTGTAAGAGATTTGTAGTTGACAAAATTAAACTGAAGTTGGCGGAACAGAGAAGTGAATTAGGATCTGAGCTGCGCGCTGAAGCCTTTAAATCCATTTTCAAGAAAATACTGTGCAAAGCATTATCCTTTTAGCTAGAGAAACGTTAATATTATAGCACTGTTGTCCCACACAGTTTGGAATTCAGTTAGATTAATGACAAGCTTACTAACAGCTGAAGGCCGAACAAGCTGCCATGTGAGAAGAGAGATAGCAAGATGTTGATAGATAGATATGTTAGCAATAAAAAGTAAGTAAATTTTTCTGCTGATTCAGCCTATGCTAGTGCTGGGGACCAGGAGAAGGATTTTGAGGGTCCTACAGAAAGCTCATAGAAGAAATGTTATTGTGCTGCCTCTTGTAAGATGAAGCCTGGGAAAAATAAATTAAGCAGAAAAAAAAAGGAGTTTTGCTGGAGAATGTACATAAGCCAGTTGTAGGGAAGTAACAGTCTTTGTCTTCAGGCTTCTGAGTCTGTTCATCTGTGTCCTGTTTTGCAGTAGAGGGATGCTGATGATGCAGTGGGAAAAGGACATTGGGTTTATTGTACTTAAATTTTCTTAAAGCAAGCAGCTTGATGATGTTAAGGTGCAGCTGTTTCTCCTTAGGTGACAATAGTGGAAAAGGCAGATAGCTCCAGTGTGTTGCCCAGCCCGTTGTCGATCAGCACCAAAAACAGAATGACATTCCTGTTTGCCAACTTGAAAGACCGAGACTTTCTTGTACAGAGGATCTCAGATTTTCTGCAACAAACCACTTCAAAAATATACTTGGAAAAAAATATGTCTGGAAGCTATATCAGCTCTGATGATGAGGTATGTAGAGGGGAACGTGACTAGCTGATTACAAGGTGGTTTTAACCAGTGCAGGTTAACAGGGAAGATGATGAAAGTCTTGAACTTGCTCTAAGGCCACACTTTTGGACACTGAAATGTTACTTTCTCTGTGCTTTAATAGGCTGTACTATTAAATGTTGTGACTGGAATATCTTTTTTATGATGAACGTGAGAAAATTCACCATTGAAGTGGAAATGAATATAACTCCTGCTTTCACATTGCACAATCACAGTGCATCTCTTCAGAAAGTAGTGTGGTTATCTTACTGTTTAACTGAGTATTGCTTTGACTTATCCAAGTCAAAATAATGGTGAAATTTCAGTATTTTGAAGAAAATACTAGTTAATATTAAAGTTGTTATGCAGGTCACTAACAGCTAGATCTGATACTTTGATCATTCAGAAGAAAGATGTTTGAGATGGCATGTGTATTCTTACTGAACTTGACAATGTTTAAATGAACAAAATAACCCTTTTCTGGGCATCGATGTTCTGTATTACCTCCTTATATTCCCATGCAAAGTAATTTTTAAAAGATGTAGTTAAATGAATTTTTCTTAGGCACTCTGAGTAGCTGCTGAATTCTTAGGTTTTATGTGTGAAATTTAGGTGCATTGTATCACAAACTTAGCATATCTCTTAAACCCAGAAAGGCCTAGCAAGCAGAGAAGACTTTGAGGTATATCGTGTTGGTTTTAGGTAGGTAGACCTCATGTTACAACTCTGTATGAGTTTTGCACTGAGTAGCACTACTGTGTTTGCCGTATAAAACTTCAGTCAGTTTTTGACTCACTTGATTAGTGGTGAGGTATGATTGGTGTATTGTTATAGTTGTTATATTCCAGAGCACATACATGTATGTGTCTGTTTTGCTTGCGTTTTACCCTAGGTGAAACTTTTTCTACCTACTGAATTGTAAAAACAAATGAGTAGTTATGGTCACTGTTGTTATGATTAGTAATATGTCTACATACATGGCTGACCACTAATTGCAGTTCTAGGTGTACAGTGTGAACTGCAGTATGTGATCTTACTGTAGTAAAAGTTTTCAAAGCAGTTTGGGAAGTCAAAGTTCTGTCTCCCAGTTATTTTTCTTTCAAATAACAATCTTTGTTTTCTGTGCTGAATAGTCTGTAACATGACTTTCTTTCAAGTAAGGGTTGCAAAATAATTTGTCTGCATAAACACGTTTGAGTGCATGTGTACATACACACAAATGTGTCTGTGAATCTCCAATTCTGGACAGCCAAGGAGCCACCTTGGGACTTACGTGATGTTGACAGTAGACCAGGGGAACTCGTGTAATGGACAGGGTGTACTTAAAGTTAACACTACTTAAATAGGATTTGAATACTTGTTTTGTTTTGTTTTGTGGAGGTGGTAGAGGATGGAGCTATTGAGGAAACTGGAAACAGTTACATTATTCTATACTGGTTTAAACTCTGCTGCTTTGTGCTTGTTGAGATTTAATTTCTTCACTTGGAGTTGGCTTTTAGCATATAGAACCTGATGTAAAAGAAGGTAAAAAGCCTGGGTTCAGGCTTAAACCCCATGCCTGTATTGTTTATGACTGGTTTCTACAGGTGTTTACAAGATCAAATAGTATTGTTTCTGCCAGCACTCATAAAAGCCTCAGCTCTGAGTCAGAAGGAGAACGACAGTTCAATCTCAATGGCAATGGCATTCCAACAGCAACTCAAGCTTTAATGACTATGTATCGACGGAGGTCACCCGAAGAGTTCAACCCTAAACTGGTAAAAATATCTTGAGCCCTGTGCTTGTCTAAGAAAAGCTATGTTTGATTTAAAACAAATTTGAGCCAGGAAAGTTTCATTCTGTCACAGTAAGGTCTCTACAACAGGCAGTATTAATCACAAAAATACAGCATTACATATGCTGTTGCTCTACCAATACAAACTACTTTGCTACAAAATAAAACAAAGTTGGGTGTAAATCAAGGGGAGTTTGCATGCCTGTTCTCAAGTACAACTGCTTCAAAAGTATTCCTTTAACAGCAAGGTGTGGAAGGATAGGAATTAAGCAAAGGGAGAAGGCAGCTTGTTAATAAGTGAATGTAATCAGGTTATTTATTGCTTTCTTTATGAATTAAAACACAACAGGCTTTTAGCTCTTTGCATTTCAGTGGGGCAGGTAGAAGGAGGAGCGACATCTTCATGTGTTTCTTTCATTGCTGTTAGGCTAAAGAATTTTTGAAAGAACAGGCCTGGAAGATTCACTTTGCTGAATATGGCCAAGGAGTGTGTATGTATCGTACAGAGAAGACTAGGGATCTTGTGCTGAAGGGCATTCCAGAAAGCATGAGAGGGGAACTGTGGCTGCTGTTTTCAGGTATGTATTTGTTCAGATGAGGAATGTGGGCTATAAGCAAAAGCGTGAGAGGAGAGAGGATTTTGAAGATATTTAAGAGTGTTGTTAAAAAGAAAGCAAAAATGTTTGGAGCAAGTAAGGCCATAGTTGTTAACAGGCACCAGACTGGTTTAGGCAGTCGTTCTGTTTAGACAAGAAAATAATCCTTTTTTCAAACAAGGCTCAGATAATTAATGAAGAATATAAAAAAGCAGAGTGTATACTCTGCTACCAGAAGTCAATAATCTAGAGGCTTCCAGATGTTTAACCGCCATCTGCAGGCCTGCTTCGTATTTGTTATCATTTCTGAATCCAGTTATACTTCTGACCTTCACAGTAAGCTTTTGCAAGGAATTCCTAAATATAAACTTGTTGCTGTGCCTCCATGTGGGAAATGAGAAGAAAATTTTTTCTGTCTGTTCATACTTTCTATGCCATCAAGGATTTTCTGTAGCTGTGTCCCTTTAAGCATTTCTCTTCAAAGCTAAAGGAATTTGTTTTAATACTGCTTGCATGGAAATTTGTCTGTGCATCAGATTTTCTTCATACCTTTACACTTTCTGTATGCCTTCTCTAGTTCTGTCCTTTACTGAGATAGTTTCACATACACTTGAAAATGTTCACAATATGAGCTCACCAGGAACTTTGTATGAAGACATAATTAAGCTTTTTTTAAAAATTTCTTTGCTAATAATGCCTGATCTTGTATATCTTCTCCTTACTAATGGACATGAAAGGGATGTTTTCAGGAAATGCATGCAAGAATGGACACATCTGTCCTGTTGAAGTCCCCAGTGAAATCTCATAGCAGCCCTGTGAGCGTGTAACTGTGTCCCTAAGACAGGTTGAGTGCCCTGCTCCAAAGGACAAGTCATTGTCAGGAGGGGGAGTAAAGCTCAGCAGTTCCTCTCTCCTCCTTTTTGGAGGATGCAGCTGAGATGCTGTGTTCTGTGCAACCGAGCATAATCTATTCCCTCCTTAGGGCAAGTAGCTTTCTCAGGCATGTTTTGAGTTTGGGATAATGAACCCCAAAGCCAGCTGCAGAGAGAGCTCGTGATACCAAGTGATGGAGCAGCTCTTTTGTTCTTCGTGTTTGCCTTTTCATCTTACATTAAAGAGGGACTTGCTTTTTTTTTTCCCTCCTCTCCTAAACTTTGATATTAAAATGTCTAGAGTAGAAGACAAGTAGAGCTACTCTCAGTCATCTCTGCATTATCCTTTTTTTTTTTTTAATTAGATCACCTTTCCAAAACGAACGTTTCATATTTGCTTGTTGAATTTTAAAGTTGATGTTCAAGATGAAAGGATAGCAGACGATGATCATCATGGAATGTTTTATCTTCTAAGCCTTGTTTTTTCTTGTGGTTTTATTCTCCCACACCCAGGAGCCATTAATGAAATGGCCACTCATCCTGGCTATTATGAGGACCTAGTGGAAAGATCAATGGGGAAGTATAATCTTGCTACAGAAGAAATAGAGAGGGATCTGCACCGCTCCCTCCCAGAACACCCTGCTTTCCAGAATGAGATGGGTATTGCTGCTCTAAGGAGAGTGTTGACAGCTTATGCTTTTAGAAATCCAAACATAGGATATTGCCAGGTAACTGAAATATCTTAGCACTCCTTCAGTTTCTGGAATTCCAGTTCTTTCCTTTTATTCCTTTTTCTTCATTTGCACACCTTGAGTAGTTAGCCGTGGAAGTTCACTGATAACATTAAAATGCTGTGAAGTGCCAGTGCTGCAGAACTGTAGCAGTGCTGAGGTCAGAGGGATTTGATGCAAGGACCTGCACCAGCAGAAGCATTTGCAGTGCGCACTCAGAGCTGCGCGTGGCTTTCTGTAGACATGTTTTCTGCCTGTAAATCTGGAGACTGGGCAAAAGTGCACTGCAGGACTGAACAGAAAATGAAAATGAACCCAAGAAAGGTTCTTTAGCTGCTGTTAAACAGAAAAAGGCTTTTAATTGCTCGTCTTTGAATTTTGGCCTACTTATTGAATACATTAGTCCACATGACACAATTAAATCAGGGGAAACAAACAAACAAAGGTACAAAATATTACTGTGGATGTACTGGTACAATTAATGCTGACCAGAGTTGTTATTCCTGTGATTCAAGTGTATCGTTTCTGGTCACATCATTATTTCTTGGTACATAATTTTAACAAATCACCTGGGCCCTTCCCTCCCACCCAAATTTTACCTATTTTTTCAAGTTTCAGGAAACTCAAAATCAGGAGTGTTAGTGAAGAAGCTTGATTAATTCTGACCGTTAGAAGTTTAGATATAGCATGAGTAAGTGAAAGTAGAAACAGTTCTAACAGTATCATGAATTATTTGATAACAAATAAGACATTAAGCGTTAGATAAATAACCTTTTTAAAGACTGCTTAACAGAAGAAGGGCACTGTTTTTCTAGTTCAAAAAGCTGTTAGGCTCATTGTATGTAGTCTTGAGACTTGGTTCATGGCTTTTAGAATGCTGATTCATGGTTACAGTGAGAATTCAGGCCCTGAAATGGGATATGTGGTAGACAAGGCAAAAGAAAATAAATAACTTTGAGTTACAACACTGAGTTTCATTTGAAACCTTAATTGCTATTTCAGAGTAGATAATGTTCAAGCTGGAGCCCTGAAATGTTAATGACTCAGGATCTGAAATGACCTGCTAATTCTTAAAGGCATCAAGAGGGAAGAAAATGGCACTGAAATGCTTCATTTCTTCAGACTAACAGAAGTCTAGTCACAGGATCTAAGCAAACAATTCAGAGGTCGTTATACAATGTTGTGATATTGGAAAAGGATGAAAACAGTCTGCAAAAAAAGCTGTCAAGAGAATAGTTGAACGTGGATAGTAAGCAGAGTGAGAGGCTTAGGTTTCACTGTTAAGCTTTGGTTGTTGTGACCAACACTGTTACAGACACCTGCCTCAGTGTCTTGTAGTGGCCGAAAGCATGTAGACTACCAGTACAAGCAGAAATAGATCAGCAGTCATCATTAGTGGACTAGGAGACATTTTGTCTGTGTTGGACTTGGATTCTCTAACAGTGCTTATTTACAGAATGTTGGTAGCAGTGAAACTGGATGCTTGCTTATTTTTGTAGGCCCTTGATCATGCAAAGAAACCATGTTTTTTTTAAATACACATGTACAGTGTCATAGCTTAGAACTAATTAACTTCTGTCACTTATTTGAGGCTTTTCTGTGAGCGCTGGGAAAAGTTTGAGGTCTGCAGGGGGGTTTTACTTAATTTTCTAAGAGTAACAAGCACTTGCCTGCCCACTTGCTATGCTAGATGTTAAAGAAACGGGTGAAGCAATTTGTATTTGTCCTTCTTTTAGGCTATGAATATTGTCACTTCAGTACTTCTCCTTTATGCAAAAGAGGAGGAAGCTTTCTGGCTGCTGGTGGCTCTGTGTGAACGTATGCTACCTGACTACTATAATACAAGAGTTGTTGGTATGCTATGAATTTTTTTCCTTCAAGTTGCAGTAGACAATGACCCAGCTGAGTTGGTAAAAAGAACTGTTTGTGGCATAGAAGCTATTATGAATCCTCAACACAAGACAGCTTGCTCAGAGAGAATAGAGAAATTGTCGTAAGCAGATACTTTGCTAGTTAAAAGCTTTTTCAGCTACTTAGGGTTATGTGGCATTCTAAAGAGGACTTAAATGGAGAACATCTGAAAGATGTGGGAGGCTAAAATAGGAATTTTAGAAGATCCAGTTATCTGATTAGGGTAGAAATAGGAGCTCTGACAATTTACAGTGGAGTTCTTTGTGTATTTTCACTTCTGATTTGCAAGAGCTGTTACTGTTGGATGACAGTTTTCTTGTGTAAGTGAAGGTGAATGGCTCTTTGCCTTATCAGGGAGGCTGTCTTTGCTGTAACTCACAAATGCTTGAGATGTTCCTTTTTGGACTGCTTAAGATACTGATGTTACGATCTAGATATAACCAAGGGTTCTCTTAGAATAAATCCAAACGCTCACAGGCAAGTCACCTTGGCTGCCTTCAATAACTGACACTGAAAAATACTATTCCGTTAGTAATACTGAGTACTAAACCACAGTATAACTTCTGTAGGTCCTAGAGCTAATTTAGCTCTTTATTAGCTCCTATGAAATCTGTAATTAAACCAACAAAAACTCACTACGATCAAAGTGAGTCTATTTCAATGGAAGTGAGAAAGTGCATATAAGAATCATGTAAAATATTCTTAATTTTTGTATCTGTTTATCTTCAGAGAAGATCATTTTTTCCCCTAAATGATGTGTTCAGTTGCTCCCAAATTAATGGACGTTGAACTTTATTTTCAACAGGAGCGCTGGTGGATCAGGGTGTCTTTGAAGAGTTGGCTCGTGACTATGTTCCTCAGCTTTATGACTGCATGCAGGACTTGGGTGTAATATCCACTATTTCCCTGTCCTGGTTCCTCACTCTTTTCCTCAGTGTAATGCCATTTGAGAGTGCTGTGGTGGTTGTGGACTGTTTCTTCTGTGAAGGAATAAAGGTGATATTTCAGTTAGCACTTGCTGTCCTCGATGCTAATGTAGACAAGCTGCTTAATTGCAAAGATGATGGAGAAGCCATGACAGTCTTGGGAAGGTATTTATTATAGAAAATCAAACATCTTCATTTTTCTTTTTGCTTTCTTTTCCGATTTATTTTCTGCTGTCTTGAAGTTTAAGCCAGTACACTAAATGCAGATGTTCTAGTGATAGTAGTACTTTTGCACCCATGTGCAGTGCTCTTTATATCATCTCACAGTGATGTTTAGTGACTAACAAAAAATGTAAGTTAGTCTTTCAAGATATCCAAATAAATTTTCCAAACCTTGTTACAGAAACTGATTTGATCAACAGAAATAGTTTTGATTACTTCAGCTTTTAGTTACTGCTTTATAATTGCTTCTAAAAAAAAGTCTAGGTAGCAAAGGAAATTGTTTTGGGAATGGACTGAACAGAAGATTTAGGTAGACTCTTAAATGAATGAGTTTAGAGAAGGCTGGTGCATAGACTGGATGGAGTTATGTAATACAAAGTAATGGTGCTGTATGCAGTGTGCAATTTCCTGTCATTTGGTAGTACTGTTAAGATTTCAAGGTGCTGCTGAGACTTTAAATGTCTTCCTGAGTAAGTTTTGTGAGTATCATAGAATTAGAAAATGGCTTGGGTTGGAAAGGACCTCAGAAATCACCTAGTTTCCAGACTTGTACCATGGGCAGGGCTGACAGCCACTAACACAGGCACTGTATCTGATTGCCTGAGGCCCCAGCAACCTGGTCTTGAATACCTCCAGGCATGAGGCATCCATACTGAATTTATTTGGAATTAGAGAAAAATGTGGTTGTCTTTCCTCTGAAGTAAAAGCCCCACTGTTTACTGAGGATGTAAGCGTTGTGCAGCTGCCACGTAGAAGACATTGACAGCAATTGTACTCGGGGGAATGACAAGTCATTTACAGCCCATTGCAGCAAGGTTGGGCAGTTAGTAGATGGGGATATGTAGACTGGAGGATGCTGATCCTGGTTCAAGTTGTATTCTAAGTGTCATATTTAATTTTGCATACTTAAACAGTCACAAAGACCAAATCAGTTCAGTGAGCTACATGTGAAGTATGACTAGCTACATTTGAGCTTTTTCTTGATGAAGATAATGTATTCAAAGAGCTACCAGAGCTCTGAGAAAAAGGAATGGCAGGGACTAGAATTTGGCAGGGTACTGATATAAAAAAATAAATAATAAAAAAAAATTCATCATTTCATTTAATTAATCTCTTTGTTACCTTTATTCCATTAGCCCTAAGATGGGAGGGAGTGTAATTGAATCTTAGGTTTCTCATTTTGTTTTCTTGTTCTCACCAGGTATTTGGACAGTGTAACTAATAAGGACAGCACTCTTCCACCCATTCCTCACCTTCACTCACTGCTCAGTGATGATGTAGAGCCTTATCCTGAGGTGGATATCTTCAGGTTGATCAGATGCTCCTATGAGGTAAGATAGGATTTCTTAACAGGAATTTGCCAGTGTGCTTCAGATCTGCTTTACTGTGTGGTTTGGCTTTGCTTGGAATTGGAAGTAGAAGAAAGAGAGAGATTCTCTCACCTCAGAAAACCAAAATAGTCAGATTGGAGGAGCCAGTCTGTCTTTTTTTTTTTTTTAAACCATAACTTTGCAGCTGTTGTATATGGAAGCATGCAGCATCACAGAGAGCTGCATGCAGTCAAGAAGCTGAGTCAGTATGATTTCACAAGATCTTTCCATTTTTGGTCAAACTTTGCTGCTTTTAAGTTAACAGCTGGTGCTGATTAGTGGCAGAGAAGCCACTGATCACAAAGCTAAAATATTTTCAAGCGAAGGGAATTGATAACAGGGAATATCTGTGAAGCACAGAAGAAGGCTTACAAAAAACTAAAACTTGCTAGACAGTTTTGTTGTTCTTAAATTAAAAAATATTTATCCATCAGTTAAAATATCCCTGTTGATTACACTGATACATTATTTTTTATTAAAAAAATAAAGAGTAACTTTAAGGAGAGTAACTAAAGGAGTAATTCTCCTTAGTTTCCATATTTTCTTTTGATGGCATACTGAGTGAACTCTTATTTTAGCTCAAGGTGTAAGTTCCTATTAGCAATATGATAGCTGTTCCAGAGCTGCTTCCTGTGCCCCTTAACCTTTCTTTTTTTAATAACGTGGTATCTATTTAATAGGGAGTAGGTAAACAGTAGCATATTCTGTGCTGAATGACAAGCAGAATCAAGGTAGGTGTATAGTTCTCATTTGCAAGATGTTGTAACAGGAAGAAGGGTATTTTTGTGAAATTGTTCCCTTTGCATTTTCTTTTATTTCCTCATCGTGGGGGCATCTTGTGTTGGCTTAACTGCGTTGAGATGAATTTCCTGACTCTGTGGAGAGCCAGTCTGTCTGTTTGGTGCTCGTGCAGTACTTTGTTGTTCCATACAGAAAGATAACTAGCTGTACTCCTATATAATTAGGCAAAAAAAGAGAAAAAAGCATGGGGAGTGAAGAATTGTGTCAGAAACAGTAGACAGGTGCAAAAAGAGAATTAGTTCCAGGAAGGTGGTGGTGGTTGTTGTTTGCCTTATTAAAACACCCAACAGTTTCATAGAAACCATTGAGAGTAAAAAATAATAATTAAAAAAATAATAATAAAAAAGATCAAGACGTGTTATATAATGACTACTACATTCATCAGTTATCTGGGTGCAGCAGGGGCTGTGAGCTCACTGTGTTAGCTTTGGTACAAGTACAAGTGAGAGTGTAAGAAGCAAGCAAGCGTGTTTCCTTCTTTTAGTATTTTAGCTGTGATCCTTCGCAAAATAGAATTTTTTGAGTACATTAAGCTATACGTAGTACAGAAACTATCCTTTTTCTCTTCTTTTTTTTTATTTTCACTTCAGAAATTTGGAAGTATCCGAGCAGATTTGATTGAACAAATGAGATTCAAACAAAGGCTGAAAGTTATCCAAACCCTTGAAGACACTACAAAGCGCAACGTGGTCAGTACTGGAATAATATTCTTCACAAAGATCTAAGTCCATCTGTTTCTGAAATAAAATTTAGCTTTTCTTGAGACATGGATTTCAGATGTGTAACCACTGTTAATGTTATGTTTCAAAAGGTACGAACTATTGTGACAGAGACTTCTTTCACTATTGATGAATTGGAGGAACTGTACGCTCTTTTCAAGGTAAAGCTGAAGTGAAGATAAGATCACGTGCCTGCGGGAGAAGCGAGTTTATGTATGATACAGGATTGTGTTGTTTACTAAAGGCCAGGTTCTGTCTGAGTTTTCTATCAGCATCTTAATGCAAGCTTGAGTTAGCTGCTGGGTTACTGAATACACAAAAGAAATGGAACAATTTCTAAAAGCTAAGGGAAGAAGTAATGTAATACATGATTTGTTTGTGGAAAAGTGAGTATACATAAACACAGTAAGCTTATATTATGTAGAAGTTAACATAGAGGGGCTTTTGATCAGTCTTCATAAACTCATCTCTCTATACCTGATTTTAAAGTTGAACACAAAAATAATCTCCATTACTACTGTCACATCGCAGCAGCTGATTTCTGCTGTTGTTAGTGCCTTAATGTAATCTGTAGGAATATAGTGTCACAAAGTGATGTCTTAGTTAAGTGTACAGCAATACACAGATATAAGTAAAACAATATGGCTTCACTTCCACTTCAGTACCATGAAACAATGTACTTTAATCCACTGGTTTGTTGTAAAAGATTTTGTGATATCCCATGAAGTAGTTATTTAATTTCAATTTCCCATCTGTGATATCAGGGCCTAAAATTGTCTAAATCCTGCACTGCCTTCTTCCAGGCTACTATGGAAGCAGGGAGACTAAGACAGTCCAGTCTAGTGGATCACTGCACAGTGCTAAGACTTCTTTCTCTAAGCTCCTGAGTTGATTCAAAGTAGAAATCAGCTCTAGGGTTTCCACTGTCTTCAGTAGGACTAAAAAAGTAGGCCTACATACGATTTTTTAGAAACAATAAAGTAAAAAAAACCCCAAAGTTATCTTCATATATCCTGAAATTACAGATTCCATGCTCTCCTCCTCCCCCTTTCTGAGTCTTTGATAGATTGAGATGATTTTGTGCTGGAGAGAAATATCTTTTGTAGATTTGCAAGGGTTAGGTAGATTGAAATAGATATGATACTCCTCTGTAGTTTATTAAAAACTGTGTGAAGAGTTTTGTTCCTTCATCGTAGATAACTCATGAGTTATTAACAGAGGTGGCAATCACAGCATTTGCCTTCTTTTCAGGCAGAACATCTGACTAGCTGCTACTGGGGAGGAAACAGCAATGCTCTTGACCGACATGATCCCAGCCTGCCTTATCTGGAGCAGTACCGTATTGATTTTGAGCAGTTCAAGGGGATGTTTGCTCTCCTCTTTCCTTGGGCATGTGGAACTCATTCAGATGTATTAGCTGCACGCTTATTCAGACTTCTTGATGAAAATGGAGACTTGCTCATCAACTTCCGTGAATTCGTGTCTGGGCTAAGTAAGGAGCACTCTTAAAATAATCTGACTAAAACAATTTGTTTCTAAAGGAGATGCACTCTGTCGCAAACAGAGATGTTTTATCAGCTATCAGATTATGAGTTTGAGTTTGATGTATGCAGATTTGCATAAGTCATCTTTTATTTTACGAGCCCTTCAAGCTACTGATGAGTTGATTTAATCACACCTATGGCAATAGTACCAACAGGGGTTTAGGTTGGTGTCAGTAGGTGCACCTAACTAGGCATTTTTATATCACTCTGGGAGAAGGACTGTTTGTGAGCTACTCATCAATTATAGTCTGAGAACCTGTGGTTCTCTGTGGTAGTGTGATGGGCATGGCCTCATTCCTGTACCCCAGATGTGGTGTGAAGCAATATTCACAGCTGTCCAAGGAGGGCCTAGCTGAGAGCCCAGCTGTAGGTCTCCCTTAAAGTCATGGTGCTTCCTTTTGCTACTGATGCTTTCCCACCTCTCATGTGGCCAAGCAAAGCCTGCTTCCTTTACACCTGTGTACATGAACTCATCCAGAAATCATCACATTAGGATGCAGTCTTATTTTTTTCCTGCTTTAGTAGCAGCTGTCAGTGTTAGTATCGATGAACACATGCATCTGGCTGAAGACCTTTAAAAGGGACAGGAAGATAGCGGTTTGTCTTCCACAGACCTTGACAAATGATGTGGCCTACTCTTCCCAAATGGTCTGTCAGTGATTGTTACTTCATTGTACCAGTAGTAGGAAGCAGCACTTTGAGGATAGGATTCCATTTTTCTTGGAAACCCAGCTGAGGCCAGAACAACCAGCACTCATCAAAAATTACTGAATGCTGTGTTGGGAGTGAATCTGAATCTGAAAGTGAATCTGAAAGAATTCTATATTTGAAAAAGCTTTTCTGAACCCTTTACGGCTCTGTCCGCAGTGCAAATTATTGGCTGTTATATTACAGCTATATTACAGCTTGATGCAATCTCCTATAGGTGGGCATGGTCCTAAAGAAGAGCTAGGAATTGGAGATACCATCTGAAAGAGGTGATTATGTATGAAAGATTAATTCTTAGAGAGCGGCTCTAACTTTATGGAACTTCACATTTGGCTACGTTTTACGGTTAAATTTAAAACAAACAAAAAAACAATCTGCACTTCAAAACACTACTGTCATCTTTTTTGTGCACAGCTGCCTGGATTTCCCTTACTGCTGGCTCGTGAAGGTGGCACACAGATTGTATTCTTAGTGGTTTGGTTACTTTTAATCCGTGTGTTTCTTTTTCACTTCTCAAGAGGATGACTTTTGAGAAGCTCACATGCACATATGAGGAGCCAGGAGGGATACTATCAGGATGTTGGTTTTGTTTGTCCCTGAATAAAAAGGGCTTCTCTTCAGAACTCTGCTGACAGCTCATATTTGTGTCCCTATCTGATAAGAAGGTATCACATCTCACAGTGTGTGCAGCGAGGTCCTCCTTGTATTACTTCTGCTGTCCATAACCAGGCCTGCAGATTAAGAGAGAAAGTATAAGTAAACTGAAAAAAGGAGCAGTGATAATGCTGGTTGGATGGGGAAATTAAACGTCATTAATGGAGACTGTGGCTCATGCAAGTCTCAAAGCAAAATTTCAAGAGTTTGAAGTCAGTATTGCAACAAAGGGAACAGGTGAGCCCCAGGGTTAAGGGTAAGCAAGATGAGGCAGGAGCTGGCCCTTCATCAAGTAGTTAGGTTTTAGGGCTGGTAGCCTGCACCTAGTCAGGAGCATCAGCTGCTGCTTGGAAGCACGTCAGTCAAAGAGAGGAAAGTGGGGCTGGGAGCAGAATGTGGTGAGTTTAGGAAAAGCTACAGGAAGCGTGAGTTAGAGCCACTGTTGGGATAAGACATGAGTGAATTGTGTGTGTCATGCTTGCACCACCCATTTAAAACCTCTGGATAAAAACTGGAGGAGTATCATACGCGAATTGCGTCCCAAAAAGATGAGATCTGTTAAACACTGTTGAGGGTTGTAAGGCCTGTGCCTCCAGATTGCCAGGAAGGAGTTGTTCCTGAATGGAGCTAAGGATGGGCTTACCACCTCCTCAGTGCTGTTCATGGACCTTTGGCAGCAGCATCTGTTTTGCTGTTTGGGGATGCAGAGGCTGGACAGGAGGCACTGTGCTCTCCAGGCTGTCTCGTGGAATGACCCCGCACCACAGTGTACAGGTCAGAATGATGACCTGAGCTGAGGCACCCACTTGTGCAAAGGTCTCCCTAATTCCATGACAGGGACACGTCTACCAGAGGTCTGTTTCTGTCTCTTGTCTTTATGGCTGTAGACTAATGTTATTTGGGAACAGCCCTACAGTTCCTGTAGGTTACCAGTAAGCTGTGTGTCCCTTTGCAAAACTGTCTGACCTCTTCTGGGAGAGGCCCAAGGGTTGTCTCTGAGAGCATCCCGATGACAGCTTGTCCTGAGTTCCGTTGTCTTCATTTCTGTACATTTTGCAGAGAAAAAGAGCCTTTCAGTGGGAAACACAGAGACACATTTCAGGAAAAAAAGCAAAAAACAGTGCTGTTCAAGCTTTTTCAGTACTCGTTACATTGGGGGATATGGATGAGTACAAGCCAGGTACACCATGCCCCGAATTCTACTCTGATGAATGCATTTATAGCCATTGCTGAAGGACTCAGAACTGCAGCCTTATTCCACTCTTAAGTTATTTCATGTTGCTTTTACCAGTGTGGCATATCACGTGGTACTTGGGTGCATAACCTAGGGCAAAACTTCACTAGAAAAGAAAGCATTTGGATACTACTATGACACTTTAAAAAAAAAAGGACCAAGTTAAAAGTAAAATGACTAAGGTAGATGCACCAATTTGTTTGGCTTGACATGTGTGTTTATTGCAGTCTTAAGTTTAACAGTGGACTGTGGTAGTATTTGCCAACCCATACTTTGTTGTAGTTTGCATAGCATAGGTAGGTTGACACTGTAAGGTAAAATAAATCTGTATAACCTAGTTAATTAATGTTAATTCATTTATTTCTGAGTTATATGTCATAAAGAAGATGATTCATGAAGAGGTCTGGTTTTAGGTTATTTTGGTGCTTTCAAATGAACTAACGTTTGTTTACTTACCACAATGTTTGCAGCTTGGATTTCATACAGCTGATTTCAGAAAGGAGTTGAGGTAGATACCTATCATCAGAGGGTACTCCATAAATAACAATTCAGCCCTTAGCTAAATGGTGATGAATAGTATTGGTGTTCAAATGTCTTTTTCTATTACTATATTTTCTTCTTCCTGATAAATGTTCTGAGTCATGCGATGCTTTTATCGTTTCTTCAGACTGATAAGTTTCAAGTCCACCCAAAAATGTCATCTTAAAAAATTTCTCTCACTAACAGTTCAGTAGCAACACAGTGATGATGGGTTATTTTTGAGAGCAATGAAATAGACAGGTAACAAAGGACCTAACACAGAAGTACAGAATTTGAAGTATTCTGTGTTCTCATGCTATTTATTCATCTCTGCTGAGGACCGTATGATTGTAGAAGTCAATTGACTGCTTTCTGATCTATCTGGGGCTGTAAAGGGGGTACAGTGGCATAACCACATAATGTAGCAGCTTCTAAGTGTAGTATTCTAGCACTAATAAATAGAATGGCGTTGAATGCTGAGTATTAACATGTTATATACAATGCTGTTTAGGTGCAGCATGCCATGGCGATCTTACAGAGAAGCTAAAGCTACTGTATAAAATGCATGTTTTGCCTGGTAAGTAAGTTATAATAAAATAGCTGTCTTTATGGCTAGAACTGAACTTTGGACCAGAGTTGTAAACAAGTAGTTGTGCCATTTAAAATGAATTTGTAGAAACTACTTTATCTGTTTATGCTGTGATAAAATAAGTGAGATTTTTGCCGTAGCCAAATGATTTAGAACATCTGAAAGCATCATCTGATTCTCTATTGCTCCTGTCACAAAAGGCCATTGATATGGGTTTCTTTCCAGTTGAGCTGTGGTTGGTTCTTCCCCCAGCAGAACAAATACAGTGTTCTTCAGGGTTTGTTACTGTAGCATATTTTATTTAGCAGTAAAGCCGGTTTAAAATGTTCCTGTGTGACCTGGTTACTATTCTGTCTCCAGGCTTTCTTCTCAGGTTCCCCACTGGAGTGGTACAGGTATTTCCAGAAAGATACTTTTTCTTGTAAAATGCAGGTAACTTTTACAGATGTTTCCAGGGAGCTGAACAAATTGAACTCAGCTCAGTGGAGAAGGCAAGTTCAGGGTGGAGAGGGGATGGAAACATCATCTCAGAACAATTTTGCCCTTGAAGAAAACCATGTCCTGGAACTGCATCATCTCTGAGTTGTCTGAAGTCTATCATAAAGTACCTACTGCTGTCCTCACTGAGTCGGAGATTTAATTACGTTGCAGTTGTTTGGATGCTTTAATTAACATGCATGTTTATTCTTCCTGTAAATGCATCTAAAACCTGTGAGAGGACATTCACCTCCATATGTTTTGAACGTGTGTCCTTGATGGCTCACAGCTTGGTTTACTTGGAGGTCGGCTGGAGTGATTCACTAGTTGAACTGAAAGGAGAACAGCTGACTCTACTGAACAAGAAGAGATTAGTTCCAAGAATCCAAGTTCTGGTATTGAAGAACTGGGGTCTCATCCTGAGTCGTAACAGGCCGTTTCAAGCTAGTACAGGTTCACATCCTGCTTAGGACACCCTGCAAAGAAGAATGTTATGGTTACATTAACTGGAGTTAGACGTGGAAACAAGCTTGCTTCTAAAGGCAGGAAGTTATGAGAAGCCAAAGAGAGGTGAATTTTGGAGGTGGAAGGTGTGACAGTGAAGAGGTAGTACCAGCTCCAGTTGTTTGAGCTCCCATGAATTGAACCTTCACATCTTCAAACTATTTCCAGAAAACACAATGTTAAGTGTATCAATTGGGATATGTTATAGTTTTTAGTGGAAGTGTAGAGTTTTTAATGAAAGAGTTTTGTGGTATTGCTTAGATCCATCCCCTGAACAAGAAGAACCAGACTCTGCTTTTGAAGCCACGCAGTACTTCTTTGAAGACATCACACCCGAATGTACGCATGGTAGGCATCTTCTGTCTTGAGTATGAAAATACAAGGTAATGCACTTCAAGCACCGTGTCTTCTTAAAAAGCTACCATTTCACTGGACCAAACTCTGGGAGTGAACTATCTTCTTTAAAAAGAAGTATGTAGCCTGTGTACCTATTTTGTCATCCTTAGTTGGGTTTGTGTGTGTACCCCACGGGCTCCCTGGATTGTGCTCTGCAGAAATACTCGGAGAACAGTGCAATTGGTGTGTTTACTGCAGAAGTATTTCTGTGATAAATTGAGCATATAGGGCTTGATGGAAAATGGAAATACATATATTGTCTTTCACGATGCATTTGGATCACAGAACATGGGAAATTCTAAAAATAAATAAATAAAAATTGAGCCAACAGATACATCAGAATCAGTTCAGTGGTCTGAAAACTTCTTGTAGCTTAATAAGAATGTCTCTCTCTCAATCTCTCTCAACTGTGTTATCTTAAATGATATTGTCTTCCTTGGAGATATACGATATTAAGCTTCTCTCCAGTTTAATAAAATATTACTCATCCTCCAGATTACAGAGGGAAGGAATTTGTTTGAAAATACAGATAAGAATAAGTGTTTATATTAGTAAGTGTAATTGTAAGTAATAACTGATTATTTGGGATTTGTCAGAGGACTTAAAAATAAACGAAAATCATGGTTTAGTCGTAGCAATTTTTCTCTGCATTTTCTGTAGAGTGAAAATTGCCTTTATTTTATTCTGTACGCCTGAAATCTGTTGATAGATGTGAAACCACAATGGTCTCTCTCCCCACCCTTGTATTTTCTAGTTGTTGGTCTAGACAGCAGGAACAAACAAGGAGTAGATGATGGGTTTGTTACAGTGAGTCTGAAAACAGACAAAGGTATGCATGTTGTCTCCCTCTGAATTACATCTTGAATTTCTTTACAAGATACTCCTTTTGAAAATGGAAAAAGGTATTAATTGGAGGTTTCTTCTTGGACTTTTCCTGCGTCTTTGGGTAATTTTATTGATAATAGGCAAGAAGAGTTCACAAGAGAATCGAAATTATCTGAGAATGTGGAGCCAAGAGAATAAATCCAAAGCAAAAAACTCCAAGGATTTGCCCAAGCTGAACCAGGTACTTCTGCTGACATTTACTTTTCACTAAATTGAAACTTTTCTTTTAAACATGCTTGAAAATATTCAATAGATTAGTAGAACTTTTGAGGCAGGTTTACTGGCACAGCAGTGAGCTGAATATATGTTAGTTGTCTTCAACCAAGTCATGTCCAGCTCCCAGAACGTCGTGAATGCGAGATGCGTACATAGAGGAATGATAACATATTAATTAGGCTTGTAGGTAAAGGGTGATACGACGCTGACTATTAGCAACGACTGTGTAACCCTGAATACGTGCTACCTGAAAGAAGCATTTTGTGTTTTCTTTTTTAGACTGTCAGTCTCAAATCCATAGCAGCCAGGGAGGGTAAAGACACTGGGATAGCTGTTCCTTCCAGAGTTCATACGGAAAGCTCACTGTAGAGCAGGATTTCTTTCTTTAGGTAGTCCTAAGCAAATCTTCTCCTTCCTGTTAGTCAGTTTTGAACTTTGAAAGGCATGCATTCAACTGAGTTACCACTGCCCATTAAAATAGCACTAAGGTCACTTCTTTCATTTCTCCTTACTTTCCACTGGTTTTGTCAGACTGCTAGTTACACTAAGCGTTCTTCCAGTAAGAAGAGGTCAGGATGAGTGCTGTGTCTCACTGCTCGCCCTCTGTTGCCCTCCTCTGGCTGCAGAGAGAAATTTGTCATCTGTTGGAAGGAACGCCCAGGTTAAAGTGTTTGAGATAGCTTTGAGAGAGACAACATGTGGCTGTCCAATAATTGGAAATGCTTTCTAGACTCTACCCAGAGTAATTTCAGTTTCAGTTTAATCAGATAAACTATTGTCATCCCTCTATTTCAGGCTTCTTTTAAACTGATTTACTAGGTCTCAGCAGCTGAATTTGTTTCCTGCTCTCTCGATAACGTTTTCTTTTTCTGTTTGTAGGGACAGTTCATCGAACTGTGCAAGACAATGTACAACATGTTCAGCGAAGACCCCAATGAACAAGATCTGTACCATGCTACTGCTGCTGTGACGAGCTTGCTTTTGGAGATAGGTGAAGTTGGCAAGCTCTTCTCGGTGCAGCCCACAAAAGAGGCAGACAGCAGCAGTAACAATTGCAGCAAAGCCATTCAGAGCGAGCTGTTTCAGAAGAAGAACAGCCAGCAGTACCCCCTTGAACAGCACAAGCCGTTCCAAGGCAGCCTGGTCACCAACGACGAGGAGGCCATTTGCACCGAGAGCACCCTGGGCATGCAAATGGAGGACATTAAACTTGAAGACTCTTCTCCCAGGGACAACGGAGCCTGTTCTTCCATGCTCATTTCTGACGATGACACAAAAGACGACAGCTCCATGTCCTCCTACTCGGTGCTGAGTGCAGGTTCGCATGAAGAAGAAAAGCTGCACTGCGAGGACATTGGTGAAGACACTGTTTTAGTACGGAGCAACCACACCACTTCTCTTCATAGAAGCACTAGCATTGACAGGGACTGGGCCATCACCTTTGAACAGTTTTTAGCCTCCCTTTTGACTGAGCCAGCGCTGGTTAGGTACTTTGATAAGCCTGTGTCCATGATGGCTAGGATCACTAACGCTAAAAATGTCAGGATGATGGGTAAACCAATCACCTCGGCCAGTGACTATGAAATCTCCACTATGTCGGGATAAAGGGCAGGTTTTTTTATTCTTTCTATTATGTATTTATGAGTACCTGGCACAGGCCTTGGTATTTTCAAAACATTATTGTTTTCACTAATGTGAAAAGGTTGGGGTGCATACTTAACTATGTCTTGAGGTATAATCACTCTTTCTGTGGGAAATGTTACACGAATGCAAATTTTATTCAAAATACAGAAGAAAAAAATATCAGTTGTCAGTGAAGTGTGTGTATTATTAACCTTGCTGTCAATTTTAAATGGTAAAGATTAGTTCTTCTAAATGTGAACTTAATGCTGATATTTGTGTGCATTTTTAAAACAGACATAATGCAGAGGTCTGATTCTTGAGGGGAAATAGTAAACAAAACAAACAAAAAAAGTACCTAAAACTTAAAGGGACGCTGTCAAACTGAATAGGACTTCAGGGTGAAGTTATGTTCCAGGCACCATCCCTGCAGGATGACTTTATTGCATATAACTCGTGTTTTGTTTTTTTTTTTTTACTATTATTCCCAGAGAGGATAATATTTTTTAATGTATGCTTCATTTTCATTTTCTGAATACATGCAAGATCCCTTCAGTGATTCCTGACTGGGGCCTAACTTCCCTTGCTTGAGAATGGTACACTCAAAAGTAGAAATGGCATCCCAGGTTGAGCTGGCACCTCACGCAAATGCACTTAAGTATGATGATTTCTGCTCCAACAGAACACAGAATCCATTTGCCTTTGCCTCGGTTCAGCTACCTCCAGCTTGACCAGACCCAGCAGAGGAACAGCCCTCGGCCACCAAGGGAAAATAAATCTCCATCGTGGTCCTGCCTGGAGCTGTGCTCCTAGCAAATGGACTTGGAAGCCTTGCTGCCATTAAGCTCCAATGACAGCGTATGCAGGTACCAAAACAGCTTGGTGGAGTCCCTTAAAAATTGACAGATGTTTTTAGAAATAAATTTTAAAAACCAGAACACAAAAGTATCTAGTTGGATCTACAGCATATTTAGCTTAGCTTTTAAAACTAACCTTTACCACCAACTTACTATATCCTTGTTAGATTAAGAAGTTAAAAACCTGTATTGCATAAGTCTTCATTTACAACGGTGTAAAGTAGAGGTAATGAAAAAGCTGCAAGATAATGTAACTGAATGTTTAAGTCTTACTGAGAACACTGTCACTTTATATAAAATGAGTAGTATCCTGTATCAGCTTACTGAATATGTTAAAATGCAAACTGGAGCACCTGCACTTTCAATCCTTGCTTCTTTTATACGGATATTCAGGATTTTTTTAAATTTTGTTAGCTGTTTTATAGTTCATACTTGTTCAGTTCAGGATCATGCTTCTATGCCTAATCTTTATTTGCTGTTTTGAGAATATTTTCTGTAGAATACTGTTAATTTTTTATACTCCTGTATATTGCAGCCATGTAACTTGCCAGTTTTTAGCAAAAGTTGTGCTTTCTTTTTATTTTAAAAGAATGCTTTTAAACTGTCAGATAAAGTGGTTTTTAACCACAACTAGGTAATGTAAACAAATAAAATACACTGCACAGATCTGATTTTTAATAGTAATGTTAAGTCACGCTAGAGGGAAAGTAGGTGATTGGGTTTTACTACAGAGGCAAATGAATTGAATTCTCCAACACCAGGTTTCAGAAGGAAAACATTGGCTACTTCTGTTCCTTAAACACTTGCATGTGTTGAAATCTATCTGCAACAAGCAGACAGTCCACATGGGCCTCTCACACTGTGCCATTCCGTGGAATGCATTTCCATGTTAGGCTCACAGTTGGTGGCAACAGTTGTTAATACTTCATCACGACCCACAGGTGTTTTGTTAAGCATCTGCATGTTGCCATAGCTTGCTAAGCACGCTTTTACATTTGTTAGTATTAAAATGCTTTTCAGAGGGTAAGCTGTCAGCTTCACAGCCATGGCAGTAATAGACACAGGCAGTATATATTTCTGCTCTGTAAATACTTATTTATTTTTGCAGTTTATCATCTTGCCATTTGTGTGTATATAAAGCCTCTTGATTACTGAGTGCATTAATGGTTAGGTAACCCTTATCTCAACCATTTAACGTTACTTTTGGGAATAATTGGAGTTCTTTCTGTTTTAGCTCTGTAGAGTCTACATAACAACATAAAAACATAATATAAAAAAACAAATTGTGTATGAAAATATGCAAGTTGGTTTGCATGCATATCAAATCATGACATTCATACGAGGTTGTAATGACCATTTTGAAGAACATGGCTTCATGTTTTAACTTCACATGCTAAGGCCAGAACAGGGCCTGGCAGCCAGTACATTGCTGTGGAAGTCTTCAACACTTCCTTAAACATACTCAGCCTTTTTCAGTTTGTAGAACCCCAGAATACTTCCATGAGTGTCTGTCATGTCCAAGAGTACTTATGCACATCAGCAATCTGCCACACACCCCAAGAACTATATGGATTACAGGTGAAGTACATTTCATCCTACGAGAGTTTGCCAGCTGTGCTCTACCCACCAGGACTGGCGGTGTAGCAGTAAAATGGCTTTCCTATAAAAAGAGGAGGCATCCACAAGGATCTCTCTTATCCCCATAGCCATTTACAGGGTCAATTTTCTTTCTGCATTGCCTTCCTTGCCTTTCTGAATAACACAGCCATCTCAGCAATGACTTTTAAGTGTGAACCGAGTCATCTTTAAGAGCTGCTTTGTGCCAGGAAGCAGCCAGGTGAGCTGAGTTCTCCAGGATTTTAGTAAGGCTGCTCACCTGATGAAGCCACTTCCCATGGCCTCCTGATAGGTGCTTGTTTGATGGCAAGAGCTGCTGTGACCTGGGTGCAAGTTGGTGGAAGTCACTGAAGTTCAGCTGACCGGCATGCAGTCATGTGAAGACCTTCAAGAGAATGTGAGTGTGTATTTGAAGTCTTTGTATACCTAGACATGTTGTGTAAGCAAGTCTCTTGACATGCGTTTTGAGATAGAGACCCTCTTGAGTCTGTGAGCAGTGGAGTTGAGTTAGGTCTGTTGGTCTCACAGCCAGCACAAAAAGGAAGACCACCTTTCTCTTGAGAACTGAAACTTATTTCTGGATGTTGTTGAGCTGCCTGTCTGGTTTGGTAGCAGCCTGATTAGGGGGATGCTGCCAGCCAAGTGACAGACAGTGGAGCCATGAGGGAGTGGGACTTCATTCCATGTAGCTCTATTTAATGGAGGAGGGGAAGTTGCAAAGAAATGCTTTTCCATTCGAGTTTTCTTCCAGTCTGTCCTTCAAGTTACTCAGATACTCATAGTGTATGCAAGTTAAAGACATGTATTGATAGCAACTTCTCATGTACACCTTGTGAATTCTGGGTGTTGGAGGTAAGGGCAGGTGTTTGTTGGGGCTCACGAAGGTTCACTTGACCTGTGCTTTTGGCAAGCAGAAGCAGATGGACACTTCATGTATTAAACCTACTGGAAACTAGACATTAAAATGGTTCTAAAGAGAAAAGCACCTTCAGGGATTGGATATAACGGTACTTCTGTTACAGTGGATGTTAGCTGCCAGGTGCTGTGTCACAGATGAAGATAGCAGAAGCCAGCATGCTGTGTGTGGCATGCTGTGTAAAGGGCTGTGGGAGAGAAAGGAAGTAGCCTTGGTGCAGCTGGTCAAGCAGAGAGAAGATATTTGTGTTGGGTAAGCTGTGTGCTATATTGAGTACTCACTAAGCTGCTGTGTCCCTCCTATCACAGCTTCTCTGTTATTAGTGACTGCAGCAACATTCTGAGCCTGGGGTAATTGAGTCTCTTGGCAGTAGGTGTGCTACAGAAACAAATAGGAAGGGTTTGAATTCCTTTTGGATACTTAAAGCAGCAAATTAAAGGTAGTGCATAAGCACAGTAAGCCTACAGTATGCCTAAATGAAGAAGTGGTAGATCAAAAAAGGCACCTGAGCTGTATTGGTGTAATACAGGCTCACCAGGTCTCCTCCCATCAAGCTGGGGTCAGTGTTATTGAGCTTCAGTGCTGTTTCTCTGTTAGTATCCTTCTCTGTGAATCTCTGAATTGGAATATATCTAATAAGAAAAGAAAGCAGTACATGCTTCAACCAGTAATGTCATTGCAGGAGTGTGTTCTGGTGCTGGGTATACAAGGCATGAAATGTGGGAAGTGATTTTTAATCACAGTGCAAGATGCAATCAGTAATTGGTGACAGGTCACCTCCCAAAGCATGTCCTGTGAGACGATGATTTACCACTGCTTTTCTTCTCTGGAGTGCTCATTATCTATCTGGATTTCCTGAATATCTGCTTCCTTGTCCCATTTTCTACAATAACTGGTATTTGCATGATTGACCAGTTAACGGTTGGGGTTTTGTTCATCTTGAGACTGGGACAGTTCTGAGCCTGTTCTATGCTTCTGAATACAAAGGGGAAAAAAGAGTGAGAGGTGAAGCGGGTAAAATTCTTATACCGTAGTACTTTTGTACGTTGAAAGAAGCCTTTGGTCTCCAAAGTTTATAAGTAAAAGCAAAGGCCAAGTGGAAAAGTAGGAAAAAAAAGCAAAAGCCTATCTGAAGTTGACTGCATGGTGTAAGATTTGGGGAGCAGAGACACCAACCAAGATAAATTAGGGTTTCTCTAGAAGTTTGCCAGTTCTTCCAGCTGTCAGTTTGCTCCTGGCGCTTTGCTCTTTCTTAGCAATGAGAAGGCTCTTCCTAGCCATTAAAACAACATGCCTAGTATATTTTATTGATATATACATGTATGCATTCTTGGTTACTTTGTTTTAGTAAACAAAGATCAAACAATACTAGAGATATAGTGCAGTGATGGTCAGGGAGCACTATTAACCGCCTTCCCCTGCAGCAGCAGACAGTGCTGCACAGCAGCCAACCTGTGCAACTTTGATTGTACAGCCAAATTTTTGGACTGCTGCTGTAGTTGTGTGTTTAGTTAAGAAAAAATGTTTCTTCGTGGAGAGAGGAAGTGTTAAATGTCACAAAACACAGACATTTATCAGATGTGTCAAACTGACTTTCCCATATTAAAATTTCCTGTCACAACAGATGTAAGATTTCAAGCACACCTGCATGTAAGCACTGCTTTACATCATGAGACGAATCTCAAGAGTTAAAAATAAACACCTTTTTGTGTAGATCTCACAGTCGGATTTCAATCTAATTCCTTTCTTTCTCTTGGTATTTGATTTTTAGATCTGTATCTTGGATGCTGATTTTAAAACGAAGAAATGTAGGTGAGGCAGCTGTTCTAGCTGTTGGGGTGTTTTCCATTTCAGCTTTCATACATATCCGCGTTCAGCAGCCTCCAGTGCTTCTCTCAGCTGTGCTGTACAGCTACTAGGAAAAAGACATCAACGCATGGCTCGCTGCAAACTGTTGGTTTTCTAACAATGACAGCAGGCCGGAACACACCGATACTGACAGTATTTCTAATAACTTGTTCTTTATTTCTACCATTGTAAACTTAAGTTTCCATTACAGACGTCACAGTTTACATTATTGCTTTTATACTGTGGTAAACGTAAATTTCTATTAGTACGCAGTTATCTAAGCACAGTGTGACAAGGAGAAACTGCCCCCCGGCAGCACTCTCAGGTGTCTTTTTCTTTTCCCCCCCTCCACCACCCTCTTCCCAAGTGAAAAACAATATACAGACTGGCACAGGAAACATCAGTCCCAAGACAGATCACCACAGCAACACAGAACAGGTATGACCAAACAAATTCACTAGTCCTATTTTCAATAACCGTGACTACTGAATTCCCACAAACTTCTTCCATCACAGTAATTCCTAAGACAAGGCTAACTAACGTTCTTGTTTTTAAACGTTTAAACCAGGATGGAAAAACCTAGGGAATGAATGCTTGGGGTTTGTTTTTCGTTTGTTTTACACCAATGAGTGAAAATCCAAAAGGACTCGAGGTGCTTAAATTGGCCCCTTCTCCCATTGCCCTTTTAGGACAGGGCATCCTATTGTCTGCACCGTCAGACGGCAGAAGCAGCAGTTTGAAAACATTTTTTGTTCCTTAGGTAGCACTGTCTTCAAATCATGCTTTCCAATTATGTTGGTTATGTATGAAGCAGTGCATTCAGTGAATGAAAGACTAGCTCCTGCCTTGATTTATAGTAATCTTTCCATATCTCCAGATTACTCTGTTCATGGTGCGGTACCACGTTTAAGCATGTGCTTGAACAAGGGGAAGGGAGGCAGTTTGCTAAACAGATGCTACAAGAAGAAAAACAAAATAGGGAACTGCTCTGTGTTCACACTCATTTTTTTTTCCTAAAGTGACTGGTATGTATCAGCCACGGTGTAGTGAATGCTTGCAAGCTGCAGCATGTTAGCAAACTAGCAATACTTACAACTTCCAGTAGGATAATACAGGACAGTTAATAAATAACAGCAAGAGAATTTACCAAGTTTTAACTTGAAAGACTCTTGGGATAAACTCTGAGCAACAAGTTCTGACGTCAAACAAATTGATTTTATCAACTTGCAGAAAGGCAATTTTGAATTCTCTATAGCTTTAGGATTGTCATTCTGTAACAGAGTTGGTATAAAATGCAGTGACTATCAAAACACCATTCTAAACACTCTTCTTCCCTCCCCTAAATGCAGTTAGACCTCCCCCTCCCTATGTACTAGTCGCTACCACAATACACTTAGCCCACCACCAGTGCAAAATAGGGAGAGCTGCTACTATTCTACACACAGGGACTCTCAGAAGCACTGGGGTACTTGATCACACCAAAATACATGCAGGTTCTAACCATTTACTGGCAAACTGCAGTGGAGCCTAGCAAATACTCATCTTAAACAAATACTAGGTACAAACTAATGCGTTCCCATATGTACCACTCACCTGGTGACAGCTGGGTTGACATTTAGTAATTGAAAAAAGCTAATGAAGATGCATTTTACAGAGGGATTTTTGAGACGGTAACAACTCTGTCACTGTCTAGCAAGTGCAAAATGAAATTAAAAAATGGATATCTGTGTCTGGCAGCAGCAGCAGGAATCTTGTGGTCACTTGTGAACTGCAAAAGATGTGCCCCATTCACTTGCAAATGAGATTTACAAGCAATAGCAAAAATCATTAAGAATAACATGAAAGAAGGTGGGACTAGAACATAGCAGGCAGCTCACTTCCTAGCTGAAAGTGTGCGCTTTCTGCTCCTTGCCTCTGTCAGACTTTGGGAAAGTCCAATTTGCACAGGGAGCAGAGAGAAATGGCACCACAGGATCTCAGCTTTTACAGTGGTGACAGTTACAAGACTCCAAGTACCTGGGAGCAGCAAAAGAACTGCTGTTGTGCTGACAAGCAGAGGTATAACCATACGTACCTGTAACTACCAACAGTACTTAGTTTTATTTTTTAATAGAATAGTGTCAGTCCAACACAGGTGAGCTGAACCTCTCTCTGCCCTGCGCACGGTAAACTCAAGAACTGTTCAACCATTATCAATAACTGAAGTACCATAAAAAGATGGCAGAACACCTCCTGCATATAGATACGTATTGTATGCCACGAGCAGGAGCTTTCCCACTCATACAAAGATCAGAAATGTTGAAGGGACCAAGAGCAGCTGCGTGGAGGCAGTGCACAAAGTCCCTGTTTCTACGCATCACTATTGATGTGGGGAGGCGCCTGTGGAGACCCCACGGTCCATCTGCCCCCTGCTTTAAGCAGGGTCACCCAGAGCAGGCTGCTCAGGACCTCGTCCACAAGGGTTTTTAATCTCTCCAAGGAGCTGTAATATTACAGAATATAATAATCAATGTAGTGTCTCTGTAGTGTAGCATGACTCGTTACATAAAGGGGTTTGTCTCTTTCCTCTCCTGCTCCAAATCTGCGTTCTTCAGGAGCCTCATCGTTATGAGTCGTAGTTGTTAATTAATTTACCTGAGATGATTTAAAAATTGAAAAAATCACCAGGAAAGCTTGTGTTAGCATCAAACTTTGGTGCCAATGTGCTAATTAGGGACGGGCTGACAGGGCTTTTCCCAAATAACTCAAGCTTCTAAGGCTACGGTCTGGTTACAGAATAAAAATAAAACACTGAGTGAATAAAGCAGAAGGCACTTGATTAGTAGTAGGTTTTAGGAAAAGAAGCGATGGTTTTACCAAATCTGTTTAAAGCTGCTTTAAGCAACAGTTAGTCAAAATGCACACATGAACTGTTATTGATTAGATTGTCTGGGGATGCCAAGGTTAAGGAATGTGTCACAGCTGCATCCTTACATGGAAAATGCATTTTCATTAGAAGTTGGAGTTAATTTTCATAGGATAGGGAAGATGCAATTGTGGTGGTTGGTTGTTTTTTATTATTTTACATAAATGACTGAACTTTCTAACTCCCTTGTATTCCCAATCAGAATTCCCTGTTATCTGCTAAAAAAAAAAAGGGTTGGCAACAAAGTCAAACATCTTAGATCAGAAAGAATGGAAAAGTTTTAGAGCAGGAATGCTTTCAGAAAGAGGGCCTGACCCTCGCACTGTTGATTTATGATTCTTTTTCTGTTTGCAAATGAAGCTTTTTGCAAGCACAGAAATTTGCTGGTACAAATCCACAAGCAAAAAAACTTCCTTAGCCAGAAGGAATTTGTAGTATGTACATAGGTATGTTGCTGAATTAAGCCCCTTCTCCGAGACTCTACATGACTTAATGCATTCCTTTCATTGCAGAAACAGAATGCTGACAAGTAGATGATGGACTACACGTACAGAATGAGAACACTAAGAGCCCAAAACCAGAAACTTCATCTAAAAAAAGCTTTAAGGTACAATAATCAAATAAACGTATTAATGAGAAACACCGTGCAGAAGAAATATCTGCTTCAAGTTCTTGCACCAAGAAGTATAAAAGAAATTGAGAGCAAATGATCCGGAGGATCATCAGACAGCCAGGTTAAAAACAAAACCAAACAGAACAACGAGATAAACACACATACAAAAATGTCCTTTGGAGAATAGCATATAAGAGCTGTAAACAGAGGTTGATTGTCCGAGCTTTGTTAACCTAATTTAGCTTGCTTTTTTTCTTTTGAATGCAAAAGAGTTCTATTGTTACACAGTTCATAGTGAAACCTGCAAAACTTGCAACCAAATGCATAATTCCCTTGTTGATGTAGAACCTGATGTGTTGCAGAGGAGTTATGGTTTCTTTTTGTTCTGCAAGGTTAATATCACATCATAATCCAGTAGAAGACCCTTAATCTTGTCATGGAATTTTTCTCTGTACTGGTTGAAGTGCATAATACTTTCTGGTTCTTCTTCAAACCAAAACTTATCAAACTCATAAACCAGATAACCTGTGAAGAAAATACATAGAGATCTATGCAAACGAGCTGTGCCATTTTCTGCCTTGAGCTTGTTAGACCAACAGTGATCCTTCAGACTCTTTTCAACCCCCTGAGATAGTTGAGTGCCTCATCCCTTTTAACTGCAACCTCTAGGGCACTGAAATAATGAATAAAAGACAAATGAAAATCTGCAAATACTGAATTTTCAGCCTGCAGATACAGAAAGTCACCTAAATCTATTCCTTAGGCGTGTATTTCTGTAGCATGGTGACTCCGTGTTGGTTGCAGTTCCAATACCTGATCTTGCTGCAGCCAACGAGGAAAAAAAGCGGAAGCGCCCTTCAAAATAAATCAAACATAAGATTCTCTCTGTTTCAGGTCTACCTCCAGTAACCTGCACTGAAAAAGTCGTGGATACTTACAGTAAAACTGATGGAAGTGTTCCATCTGTGGCAATCCAGGGACCGCGTTGTAGAGATGAGCCTTCAAAGCACCATTCTTCAGTAAGCTGTATGCCATTTCAGTCAGATTAATTCCAACTATTGCATAAGAATATCTGCAACAGCAATCACAGTTCATTGTGGGTTTTTTTTTTTAACCTTATGCGTTGAAGGACTTAAAAGTTTCCCAGAAGCAGATAACACTGCAAGAACTGTAAGAGTCAATTTTTCCTATACTTGTTGACAAGCCAACTCAGAGTGACAGGCCCGTTTTCAGTTCCCTATTTCATCTATCCACATAAATGTGAGCTACTGAAAAACATATAATTTCCTCTACACTAGTTTTGCAAATGCCTCCATTATTTACTTATTACAGAACAAGTGTCCAGCAAAAAAGATTAGAATCTAAACCATCTCTACGCGGGATAAATAAGAAGGTGAATAGTAAGTATTCGTATCTACATCTAACCTAAGGCTATTAAAAATACAGCTGATATTCCAAGTGTTAACCACAGCCACTATTTTGCATCATTTTAGTCTTACTGAGTCTGTTATAAAAAAAAAAACCTGCCAACAGTTCTGGTTCTGAAAATGATTTGTGTTCAGTTTCTCAAACTCTTCTAGTTTGGCTTCTACTTAAATGGAAAGCAACACAAATATTTTCCTCTTCATTTTCAGTACAAGTACCTGACAGTCTTCACATGTTCTTCCACAAAAAATAGCAAGAAGAAGTCTTATGACTTACCCCAGTTTTGGGTGATTTGAATGAGAAAGGATCTGTCGAGCTTCACTGGTGTAATGCTTACTAAAATACCTGCCAGAGTGGAACAAAACCTTCCATTATTTTTAAGTTCATATTTTAAAATATTGTGTTCAACATCAGCTAAAAACATCACAAAACAAAAACCAAGGAGATGTCACAAAATTAACTTATATTCAGTTCGAGCCAATACAGTTTAAAAAAGCAACACAACAGATGTGAAGTTCAGCTAAGCCCAACTGACTGAGCAAAGGTACTAAATGTGTTTTTCATTGCAGTAATTAATTCAGAAACTGAAAAAGCTTTCAGCAAATTATTTTGAAGGCATAACCAATCAAATGGTGCAAAAAACAAGGTGTCTGCAGCAACTTTGTTTCTCCCCTCACCTTCAGCCAACAAGATGTTCGAAGAGGTACAGCTGCTAGAATCACTAATTTATTTTAAAATATTGGTTTTGTCTGTATATAAGCACCATTTCTAATTGCTTTCGTTCAGTCTCTATTGAAAACAGAATTAACCAGTGCGAACTCAGAGATACTGCAAAGTCCTTACAGCAGAACTCCAGCAGTTTGTTTCACTTACACCAGGTTCACTAATCCCAGCAAGCCCATTCCTCTGAAGTCTGTTTTGGGGTCATCGCCTTGGAAGCCAATGTCACACCACTGCTTCGTGATTCTGGCCTTCAGGTTTTCATGAGGCATCAGCAAATTCCAGAGCTGCACAAACGTTACCATGTTACACACAGCTCCAGAGTATAGTAGCTCATAATTCAGAGCACATTAGAGACCACTGACCATGGCACAGGACACACACAGCCTGCACGCTGTTCTGTTAGTGGTGATCAGGAGTCATACTGTAACAGTACTGTAACAAGCAGGCATGAAAATGATTACATTTAACTTCTAAAGTGTTAATTTCCCTTCTCAGACGTTACAGAAGCAAAGACTGGTGACGTTTCCAAAAATCACATTCTGACAGGACAGCAGCATACTGAAATACGAATTCACCACAAATCATACTGCACAAATTTGGGACTTCCATGACAAGTGGAGTCCTTATGAATGACTCAGAAAATGACGTGCTAAAGTATCTGCACGCTGGAAGTTATTTTAAAAAGCCTTAAACAGAATTATATCATTTGTATGCTATTACTTGTGCTGATAATTGAATACTGGAAGACAGAACTGTCCTCTTCAACACTGATGCAGTAATAAGAAATGACCAAGAGGGTTGATTTTCTAGTTATTAGGTAACTGTTAGCTGGGAAATTTACAGAAGCGTGGGTGAAGTTATACATCTTTCCAGTTAAGATTGTTCAATGACCTGTTAGGAAAATTAGTCTGCTGCTGGTGTTCTGTCTGGTTTTACAGCAAATGATCCCAGTGCAGGCAACTTTTGTTTACTTGCTTGTTTTACTCCAGCATTTTATTTTGATGAGTCTATAATGGCTTAGAAGTTTGCAAGTGGAAAAGAGCTTCCATCAGGACAGCTGCTCATAGTGCTACTTTAAAATCAAGTTCATTACAACTGCTGGACTTGATGGTGGGGGATGAGCACAGCTTTTGCTTTTGGTTTGTTGGTTTTTTTTTTACCTCAATTAACTGTTCCTCGTGTTCTTCATTATCTGAATCATAGGTGACCTTCCTCAGGTTTTCCACATCCAAGTAAAGTTTTTTATAACCTGTTATTTGCAGTAAGGACATATGCAGATTTGTCTTAAACCTGGAATAACAACAAATAACAGAAGCTACTAAGAGGGATACTCAGCCATAAATTCTTGCTTGAGCAACGTTAAGAGAAGTCCTAAGCACAACATGGATGTTACAGTTTGGAAGGGCTTTACATTTACATTTCATACTTCAGCATCCTGGTATTGCTATTTGGATCCTGTTTCTACTTATAAAACCGCTAACTGTTTTGAGAGCTGCACAGTCAGGACCTTTTCACTTACATGCAGGGAAGTAAGGCCCCTCAGCTAAAATCTCTGGTGACACAAAAACTCCATACATCATCCTGACTACTGTACCTGCACCTACCCCCAAGCTTTTTGTAAGCCTCGATCCAAACTATGATATAAATGTTACAACTTAAAAGGCAAGTTTCATTCTGAATAGCCAAACTTCTAGTTCAGGCCTTGCCCTCAATCACTCCTAATTACTTCTGGAGAGGAATGCAAACTATAATCCAGCATCATTATATTCTTTCAAATCTATCTGAACAACTACAAAGTTCGTGTCACAACTTCTGTGATAACGCTACTCACCAGCAAGGAGTAGCACAAGTGACCTATGAGATGCAGAGGTGGTTATCACCAACTCCTGTCAAACTAAACCTTGCAATTTATTTTCCAGAACTTCAACAGGACACAGCTGTACCTTATTTTCTAACCCTACAGAAAGGCAAGTGCTGAACTGTCTACTGATTCTATCAGACTAAGCAACAGCAGGAATGTGACAAGTCAGAACTGTTGGGCTCGAAGACCCCACATCAGACTTCCAAACGTACCTGACATCCTTCTGTTCAATTTTCTTTTCTGTCATTACATCTCTGACACACTTCTCTATTTCAGTTTCATCAGCGTTTAGAGCATTTCTTAGAACCTAAGAAGTTCACAGAGTAGAAGACCCATGAGGAATGCAGAAATTAATGCAGAAAATTATCACCTGTTGTACTCTTGTTACTTCTCAGTCTCTGGATGCCTGTCACATAAGTATTCTTTAAAAACTATGAAAAGCAAACAGTCGATAAATTGAAAACGTGTATGATAAATGTGCTCAAATCACATGCAAGATCTTCAGTAATTAATTATTAAATTTCATTTCAATAAAAACATATAATTTGTAGGTAACCCACAAAAAATAAAACACCCAGGTTTAGGTTCTAGTTTCATAGAATGATAGAAAGGCCTGGGTTGAAAAGGACCCCTGGGTTGAAAATGATCATCCAGTTTCAACCCCCTGCTGTGTGCAGGGTCACCAACCAGCAGACCAGGCTGCCCAGAGCCACATCCAGCCTGGCCTTGAATGCCTCCAGGGATGGGGCATCCACAACCTCCTTGGGCGACCTGCTCCAGTGCGTCACCACTCTCTGTGTGAAAAACTTCCTCCTAATACCTAACCTAAACCTCTCCTGTCTCAGTTTAAAACCATTCCGCCTTTTTCTATCACTATCCACCCATGTAAACAGCCATTCCCCTTCCTGTTTACATGCTCCTTTCAAATGTTTGCCTCCAAAGGCTGACCTGAAAAATGATCTTCCTAACCTCGATCTAAATAAATGCAGCTGTCAAGGAGCAAAAGTGACATAACTTCAATAAGGAAACAGTGCTTCAAAATTAGGAGACAATAAACTAATAAAACTGAGGTACAAGCCCTGAGCTGAAACAGCAGAACTCAATACAAAATTCTGCCATTCTACAGCCTTCTAGAACAAAGGGCAAACGCTAACAATAACTACACCCTGCCCATCTGAAGTCACTTAGCGACTACTTTATTTCTGCTTCTGAACTTCTCATGGTCGCAGTGCATTCTCAATACCATTAGCACTCACACCAACACCATTCTGTTTCATTAAGGCCAGAGGTAAGTCCTTTAGAACTGAACTGAGAGATGCTCAAAGACCCATCCATCTGAAGAGATACACATTTGAGGGTGTTGAGTGTTAACTACGGTATCTAACTGCTAAGGATCACTCAGCATGAGCCTGTTAGTTAAAAGCCTACCTGCAAACTTGCACTTTTCCCAATGATTAGAGAATGTACTGTACAGGTGGCACAAAACTGCTCTCTCTGTATCACCTGCTCACGTCCCACTGCTGGTTTCTGCAAAACCAGCCTGGCAGACTGCTGTGATGGGGAGAGGCGACCTTCTCCATGACAAATAACTCAGTGCCACGACTTGTCCGACTGCTGCTGAGGAGCGATGGAGGGATGCAGGTGCTGGCATGCAGCACCCACAACAGCGTTCTTCTCCCTCCATCTCTTCCTCCTCTACTTTTTTCCTCCCTCAAAAAGCATTTTCAGGCACCTGCCTCTGTAATAAGGTTGATAATAACAAACAGTTAGCTCGCTTTTCCACAATTTTATTATTTTTAATAATTACCTTATTTTTTGATGATCCCAGTGAATGCTCTGCAATGATAACACAAGAAAAGTCACTTATACCGAACTGGTTTGGTTTTATTAGTTCCTAGTAGGCATTCCTGTATCATTCTGAGCAATTTTTGGATGACACGGGTAGGGCGACGTTAAAACCAACAGGTACCGAGCAACCGAAAGCCTTCAACCATTCGCTGGTTGTTGCCGATGCTTGGTGTCGCAGTACTGAAATCGGACTCGCGTTTGGCGGCATGCGACCCGCCTCCCTCCTCTCAGAAATGAATCAAGTGCATCGTTTTATTGCGTGGCTTTTTTTAACGGCGTCAGGGTACCAACATCAGCGAACGGCGCCGGGTTCCCCTCGGGCGCCACTCGTCCATCCCGCAGGACGTACTCGGTGACGTCAGCACGCACACGGCTCCGCACGCGCTCCCGCGGCCGCCCCCCCCACCCCCGTTTACCTATGCCCAGCGTCCTCCGCGCGCCCTCCTTCGCGCCCTCAAAGACGCGCTGCAGCTCGCACTTCCCCGTCAGCAGCCGCCAGAGCCACTTCAGCCAGAACCGGAAGTAGCTGCTGTACAGCAACCCCCACAAGCGCGCCAACATCTCTGCCCGCGAGGAGCTCCCCTCGCCGAGGAGCTGCCGGCGCCCCTCAGCCCCGCGGGCCGGCAGCGCTCGGCGCCCCGCAGCCTCCCGCCGGAAGCCGCCCGGTGCCTTCCTGACCTGGAAGTGATGCCGGGAAGGGGGGGACGGAAGTGCCGGCTGCGGGGCCGCCGGGGAACGGCGGCTGGGAGGGGAGGGCGGCGAGGTTCCCGCCGCTGTAGCGGTGCGGTGCGGACCTTGAGTGGCCGCGCGGCCGCCCGTCGGTCGTAGGCATGGTGGAGATGGGCTGACGATGGACTGGGTGATCCTGGAGGTCGTTTCCAACCTTAATGATACTCTGGAGCTTTCTTCGCCGCAGGATCAGCCCAGGTGTTTGGTTTAGGACTGGCAGGCGCCTCCGTTGTTTTCCTATGAATGGTTATTTTAGTAGCTGAACCTTGAAGAGTGGCGGAAAGAATTCCTGTTCGTCTAAATTGTATGCAGAATTTTATTGGAGAACAGGATGGGAGCTGACAGACTTGCTTGGCCACATTCTGAGACGTTTATAAATGGGTGGAAATAGAAGGACCTTTTGCACACAATTGGAAGCCACATGGCAGGTCTGGTGGCCGGCATCCCAAGGGTGGTTCCAAGGGTGGACCAACACATTTGGCATCTGGCCCTTTGTATTTTTGCAACCCTAGGGATGCAGAGTTTCATGTGGGGGAATCACTGTCAGTCAGCTTCAGTTGTTTGATTTCAGTTGTTTGTCTTAACGTGAGCCTGCAGTGTGCCCTTGCAGCTCAGAAAGCAAATGGGATCCTGGGCTCCAAGAAGAGGGGTGGCCAGTAGGGGCAGAGAGGTGATTGTCCCCCTCTACTCTGCTCTTGTGAGGCCCCATCTAGAGAGTACTGTGTCCAGGTCTGGAGCCCCCAGTACAAGACAGGGAGCTGTTAGAGAGGATCCAGAGCATAGTCACAAAGATGGTCAGGGGACTGGAGCACCTCCCCTATGAAGACAGGCTGAGGGAGCTGTGCTTGTTCAGCCTGGAGAAAAGAAGGCTGCGGGGTGAACCTCACTCCAGCCTTTTAGTACCTAAAGGGAGCCTACAAACAGGAGGGGAGTCAACTCCTTGAAAGGGTAGATAACAGCAGGACAAGGAGAAATGGTTTTAAGTTGAGGGTGGGAGGGGAAATTTAGGTTGGATGTCAGGGGAAATTAATTACAGAGAGAGTGTTGAGGTGCTGGAACAGGCTGCCCAGAGAGGCTGTGGATGCCCCGTCCCTGGAGGTGTTCAAGGCCAGGTCGGATGGGGCCCTGGGCAGCCTGGTCTGGTATTAAATGGGGAGGTTGGTGGCCTTCATGGGGTTGGAGCTTCATGATCCTTGAGGTCCCTTCCAACTGAGGCCGTTCTGTGATTCTGTGACTTCAGGTCTGATTCCCGCTCTGTGGGGAGAGCTCCTTAGGTACAAGGAAAAAGTCTTTTACAGTGAGGGTGGTGAGGCTCTGAAAAAGGTCACCTAGTGTGCTGTGGTTGATGCCCTGTCCCTGGAGGCTTTCAAGGCAAGTCTGGATAAGACCCTGGGCAACCTGATCCAGCTGTGGTGTCCCTGTTCATTGCAGGGGAGTTGGACTTGAGGGCCTCCAGAGGTTTCTTCTAACTCTAAGGATTTTATGGTTCTATGAGAAGTGATGTGTCTTAAGAGATGGCAGGTGGTCATTCATTTTTTCCAGTGTTGCTTCTTAAATGAGTCATCTGACTCTTAAAACACTGGAGTGCTACAGGATAAAAATAAACTAGAAAGTATTTCTCTTATTTGGTGACAGGGGGGTGTGATGGTTGTTGTCAGAACAATCTTTGCTTCAGCAGCAGTGCTGTGTTACTGCTTGGGAAGACGGAGGAGTTGCAACGACGTGAAGAAACACGGGTAAGAAATTGAAGGGTGGTCAGGTCCTTCCTGTCAGTCTCCATGCCCACACGTTGATTGCTCTGAGATAGCTGATGAGGAGCAATAGCTGCTGGATTTAGTTCGAAAGTCCAGCAGGTGCATCCTCACAGTGTGGGTCTGTGCAAACGACGTGTAGGGGAATCTCAGCAGATGGCAGTTTTGTTGGTGGGTACCAAAATAAAGCCTTCCTACAATCTGGTTTAGGAGTTCAGCTTTCTGTTGGGTATTTTTAATTACTCGGAAATATCTTCATATCAGTAGAGCTCCTTTGTTCTTTCTTTTCAATTATGTTATTTATGCTTACATAGAAATCCCTTTTTGTATGGATTATTAGGAACCAAAGGCACATCTTTTTGTGCTTCAGGTTTTGGAAATTGTTTCGTTTTGTCTTGTGGTAATCTTTAACTATAGACATTCAGAGCACGCTACTGTTGTCTTCTCAGTTCTGACTGCAAAGAGTACCTGGTGCTGATGATACATTATGATTAGACCTGTTGCATTAAGCATAAAAAATACATAGCTAAAGGTGATGATACATAAGTCAGGGATTTCATGCACGTTAACGTCACTCTCTGTTCTAACCTTGATGGTCTTTTTCAGTGTCTAACAAGCAAGTGCAAACTCTTAACCCATACCTTCATTTGGTTCTTTTTTGCAACTGAGTGGTCCAGCAGAGGACGTCTGCCGACACAAATGCTTCTGGTTCAGTCTGCATCATCAGTTACATTAGGACATTCAACAACGTAAAAGGTAGCTTAAGAAAACAGTCCTGATTTCTTCCTTTTGTGTTCAGTCGGTGCCTTCTGCTACCACCTTCAGAGAGACTTGGGCTTCAGCAGGATAATGACCTACTGTTCACCTTTTAAAACTACATTTCTTAAATGACAGCAGGACAAATACTTTAGCCAGCAGTATCAGCTGGATCTCTATAGTCAGAAAGCGTTCCATGGCAGTGACTGTTACCTATTGTTACGGGTAGTTATTCTTTGTTTGTGTACCCTTGGAGATGAAGGACGGCAGCAACGTGCAAGCAGAATAATCCTGTTAGTTGTTTCACCTGTGAGCCCGTGTTTTGTCAAATATTTATTTTAATCTTTCTTATCTCTATTCTTGCTTTCGCAGAGATATGTGAAAATAGTACTGAAAATGCAACTTATAAGAAGAGACATTCAGTTAAAGCACATGAGGACGAGCCTAGAAACCCCTTCTGGCAGGTAAACCATCTCAGTGGAAGCAGCCTGCTGAACTGCTAGCTCAGTAGAGGCGGTAGGATTACCCTGTGCTAATATGTTCTACTTATCTGTTCTTACCAGTTGGGTGGTTGTTGTTTTTTTTTTACATTATCAGTATGCCAAAAATGCTGCTGAGAGGTAAGAAAAGGAAAATAAAAATGCACATTTTACACTGGTCTCAAGTAGTTCTCGAACACCTGCAGTGTATGAAGAGAGCACTGGGAGGAAGATGTTAGGAAAACATGAAGCAAGTAGGAGAGGCCACTTGCAAGCAGGTCCTGAGGCAGTGGAAGTATTTTATGTTTCCACTGATGAAGTATTTGGATTTATTACTTTTTTATAGAAGCAGTTAATGTAGTACCTCATCTAAAGTTAATACACCAGTCTTGGTCAGCGTAGAGTGAATGATCATTACAAGTCAGCATGGCTAAATATCTGTTCTAGAGTTGTCCTTATAAATAACAGCTAATGCATTCAGATGTTCTCTGAACAATATGCAGGCTGATCAGTAGCTATGTGATGGTGATACTTTTCTAACTGGCTCTGAAAAGAAACTAAAATATATGTTAGATGTCTGCTATTCTTGCCTTCAGTATTCCTCCATCATTTGCACGTTCACCTTGGCTTGGTAATGTAAGCACAGCAGGCAGCCAGCTAATAGGCATTCAATTCATTGTGTATGACATAGTTAATGTTTATCTGTTTCTCATAGGACTACACATCTATTTTACTAATAACATGTCAAAAACTGCACTGATCTTCCATTCGAAAGAGCGTGCTGAGCTTTTCATGTGTTAACTTGGAGAGAAGTGGCAATGAGGAGGCAACAGAGCCTCAGAGTGCTGAGTTGTAGTCACACCGGTTAATAACAAGAATTGCTGACACTTAAAGCAATTGTAATTTCAAGAAGATTTCTCAGTACAAATATCAAAGCAAGATACAGTGAAAGAACAGAAGGATAACAGATGGAAGAGGGCAGTGTAGTGACTGAGTACAGATCAGGAAGAGTAAGTCTAGCTTCAGGTTTCCAGGTGATTCACAGATCCATGCTTAGAGCTGAAGTTCTCTGTACAGATACAGGCCACCTAATGGTCCCCTGTGCTATTAATGAATAATAAGATTTGTAACTCAAAGTATCTATTAAATGGAGAAGTAAACCTGTCCATAGAAATGTTCTAAGACAGGAAGGCTGCCTTAACCTAACAAAAAAATGACTGATTTGCATGGGAGGTAGACCTGTGAACAGCTGTTGAGCGTGTCATAGTGAAAGCCAAAAACTGCTCACGGATAGGTGTGAAAATGACATTTTTTTTTCTCATAAGACCTAGTGGCTCCGTTAAAACCATGTCCGCAGAGCAGGATCTGGGAGGCTCTGTGAGCAGGATTGCCCTTTACGTTATAGGAAATGTGTTCTGCTGCCAATTGCTCAGAATGGTAGATTGGCTTGGGTTGGAAAGCTCCATCTGGTTCTATCCCCCTGCCATAGGCAGGAGCATCTCCCACTAAAGCAGGTTGCTCACAGCCCCATCCAGCTGCCCTTGGAAGCTTCCAAGGTAGGAGCTTCCAAAACCTCACTGGGCAACCTGTTCCAGCATCTCACCACTCTCACAGAAAAGAACTTCCCAATATCTAGTCTGAATCTACTGATTGAGTTCAGACCTCAGCTGAAAGTGCATCCTTCACCAAAGTCAGAATCTTCCTCGGTATCCAGTGCCTCCATACAGTGGCCACTACATACAGGTCTGCTGGTTTGCTTACGGAGTGCCAAGGACGTGCAGGGCAAGAAAAAGGTGTGTGTCTCCTAATGGCTGCCAATGGCTTACCTGTGTGCTTTAGATGTCATCCAGTTACAGTTTACCTCACTTTTGCAACGAGGTGGTAACTGGAAGGCTTTGTTTCCTCAACTGACCGTGTACGTTGCAGCTGGACCTCTTGGTCCGGTCGTACAAGGAACGTGCCACCTGCACCGTTGGTTCTAAACGCCTACAGACAAAGCGGCGTCGTAACCACCAGCAACGTAACCACGTCGATGCCGGGATTCGAGCTGACAGCCCACTCGCGCCGCAGCCGGGGCTGAGGAGTAGCGGCGGGGCCGTTAGCGCCCGCGCCGGGCGGGTGCCTCGCTGCCTAAGGGGAGTGGGGGGAACCGGGGGCGGGCGGCTCGGAGCGGACACGCCCGTCGGGCGAAGCCGGGCGGCCGGCGGGTAGCCGGGCACAGGAGGCGGGAGCGCCCCGCCGGGAGATGCGGCTGAGAAGCGGCCGGCTGCTGGCTGCGCTGTGCCTGGGCGCCGCCTTCCCGCTGCTGTGGTACGCGGCGCTGCAGGGGAGCCGAGGTGAGAGCCGCCGTCGGGTGGAATGGGAAAGCCGATGCTGTTTTCCGCAGATAAAGTGGAAATCTTTCCCTGATGCCCTCGGGGCCGGTAGATGGCTTGTTATGGGATAGTTCGTTTGGGATGGGGAGAAAGAGTCAATCGTGAAGAGCTGTACGCTTTCAAAGTGGGCTGGGTTTAGGGGGGAGAAGATTTAAAGTAAGCCAGTTATTAATTAATTACACAGAACTCTTGTCCTCTGCTCCGTTTTGCTTATATTGATCGTTTTTGTGAGCGATAGAAGTGGACTTGCAACGCAACGCTGAATATTGCTGAGCAGTGCTGATCTTCCTGCCTGTGTCATTTCATGTCAACCTTACGGCACTTGACACTTCAAGTGGCAATTCTGCTAACAGTGGGGTAAGAGAAAGTACAAATAGACATCTCTTAAGAAACTAAGATCCAAGAGATGATAGAGTGCTTGTCCTAAGCACAGTTAACATCCCTGTCACCGTTCTGTTGTGGCATGTGTTTTGTGACACCTTTGCTGAAATGCCGTTTTTATTCAGCTTCCTTTGTGCCCCTTCTGTGCTGGTGTGCTGTGGGTTGCTAGGTTCGTACCTTTTTATGGGTGTGTTTATTCTTCCTTTTATTATCTGTGTATTGGTCTCCGCAGATGGCTCCTTCTCCATAGCCAACTCCTCTCAGATAATATAACTTTCCTAGTTATTTTAACACCGGTGTTGTTAACAAGCTTTTAATTGCTCTGAATGTTAATACAATGCTCAGAAGCATTCTCTCTTGAACTTGAACATCTCACAGATGTGCAAAAAGTTAATAATCTTATCTAAAGGAACATATGGTAAGTTAGTTTGTGCTGGTAATTTCACTGGAAAGATGCCATTCGTGCTCCTGAGCATTGCTAGAAGATAGCAGTCTCCCATGTATGCCACCTGGAACCCCACAAACCACCACGTGTTGTTCTTTTTTTTTTTTTTTCCCCAATATGAGAAGGATCGAGAGCAAACCAAACACTGCCTCGCTGTCAAAGCAGAGGACCTGCCTAAGCATGGGCTTGAAATGAATGCTTCTTCCCGCAGCGAGCATTTACCTCTGCCTCCCCCCCATTTTACTTCTTGTGGTACACCCAGAGCACTGCAGGAGTTCTGCTTTGCTCTGGTCTCAGAGGTGATTTGTTTGTTTCCTAATGCCATTTTCACTTACCTCACCTGTTACTGAGAGGTCAGGTGCTGTCCGATTGCTTGTCTCAGCTCCCATTTCTTTCACCAGTTTGTCAAATGCACTTCTTTAGGTTTGTTTGTTTTTTTTTTCAACCTCCACTTGCTTTTTTTGCTTATCTGATGCGCCTGTTAAACCATTTAGGCTGTTCTTGGTCTTTGAAGGGTGTGTATCACTGAAGTGTGCCCTTTGCTTTCTGGTCATCCATGGTTTCTTGAGTTGTGGTGTTACAACACTGAGCTTTTAAGTAGCTTTTTGGTTTGTTGTCTAACAAGGCATCGCTGCTCAAAAATAGTGATCCTATGTACTCTGATAATACAAGTGATATCTAATAGCCTTGTATACTGTTGTGCACTTCGTAGCATTCCAACCCTTTGGTATTAGATAGAAGTGTGAATCAGACTCTGTGCTGATTTCAGTGCAGCTCAGAAGTAGAGACCTTTAAATGCCTGGTACTAACGTGCTAGTTACCTGGGGAGATTGTGATTGAAAGGGTGAGGTGCAATGCGACTACAGGTAACACAGACTGGCATTGCAGGGACAATGTTCATCATCAGTTCCACCCTTAGAAATGAACATATAGGATCTGACAGAGTCACTAAGCTGCAGTGGACTTTGATTCTTGCCTCTAATATTATAAGCATTTTAACTATACTTGAAAAGTTTTCTCATTCAGTTTTCCCTTACTTTATAAACAGGTACAAGCAGAGGTTTCGGCTTCAGCAGGCTGACTGCTTCTTGTGGCAGGAAAACGATGAAAGTCATTACAAAGACAATTGGTAATGGCCACATCTGCAGCAAATCATGTTACAGTTTGTCTGTCCAAACTTGCATGGTGATTCTTTTAGCATTCTCTAGAGTGCTTGCAGATGTGGGCTGCTATTACCAACCAGCCTTGTTGACTGGTGGAGCAATACCTGTCCCACATCCTGCGTGGTTTGGATCTGTGTTTTTTGGTCCCTCCCAAGGCCCTAAGCAAGACCTGTCTGAAGCAAGCAGTTTGCATCTGAGGGTAGGGAGGGCTGTGACCAGGATGATGCAGATGTTTCTGCTGTTACACAACCTAGTTCCAACCTGCTTATTAATTCACCTGGCCAGAATTATGTTCCTTCATATAAAGACTCGTGAAAATTTATAGTTATGGAAAATAGTATGTGTGTTAATAACAATGTATGTAGTGATTTTCTTGTACAGTTTCAGTTTGGGTCTTGCATGGAATACCACAGGTGCATCAAAGTAGAAGGGTAAGCCTAAGAAGGTCACGGATCTTTTTTGAAAGCCAAGAGTACATTATAAATTCATTATGAACTCACAGGAAATTTGTTGTCTGAAAAGACTATTTCCAAATTAGAAATAACCTCAGTGATGTGACAAGTAACAATGGCTTTACAGAAGTCGTGGCAGTGGGGTGAAGAGAATCTTCTCAAGTGGCAG